TCTACGAGTGTGAGAATGCGGCGGATGCTCACCGGATCCGCTGATGACCAGCAAGCGCTCTGAAAGTGCTACCAGGGATGGGCCCTCCACTGCATGCGGAGGATGTCACTGACGTTTTAGTCATGGTGAGGTGTGCTTTCTGCTGTGAATTAGACACAGGAAACAACAATCGATCTCCCGGATCGTCTCATGGGCTCAGAACTCAGAAATGATTCATATCGGGCGTCTTCCTGACGAATTCTTCCGATCATGTATTGGGGTGGGCAGTGAGACATCAGGTGGAGGATTCCGGGAGAAGTTTCGTCGGGTCCTTCGCGCGCTGCAGAAAATTACGGAGTTTGGGGAAGAGGCCAGATTATTTTTGAGCGGAAGACGATATTGGAATCGGAGCGTCAAAGATGCAGCGAATAATCCGCGAAGTCCGGCATGGGTCTTCCACGAAGTTCGTTCTTGTCGGTGCCTCCTCGGGTGAATTACTCTCGGTATGGTAGAATCGACATCGGAGAAATCAATGAAAATCGGGTCTATAAATAGCGGGAGGCTCTCCCCGGAGTGACTGAGCAAAATTCTAAAGACGCGTGATAACGAAGCAAATCCGATACCGAGCGACGATCACCGAGGAATCCAGTGAACGTGATATAGGTCCCCCGGCCGCGATGCCTGAATCAAAACAGAAACCGAGCATGGTCTTCTCGAAGACAACCTCTGACGAAACCCTGTTCGATCCGAAGAACCCTAAAGATGCGGAAGTACTGAAACGGACCGTCTCGAGAAATCTGCGCATCAATCTGGAGGATAAGGAGTTCTTGGAGGAGTTTGCGCAAAAGCTGAAGAAGTCTGGCATTCAACTGGACACGGTGCGAGCATCGAAGGAGGGTGATTTAGACCAGGGGAATCTCGTCTTCACCAGGAGCCAGACTATTGAACCAACCTCTCGACCCGACGGTGCGAAAGGTGAAGGTGGTTGGACACTGTCAGATTCTCTGTCAGCTTCGTTCGAGCCCTATAGGGAGATAAAGAAACGTAAGTAGGCAGATCAGAGGTCCTCGATCGCCGTCGACCGCTTTGTTTCAGTCGACCTCCTTCTCTAACCCTGATCGGAGGGAAACAATTAAGAAACACGTAATCGATACAAGGATTTCTGATACAATTACAGCGAGCCCCGCAAAAGCTAAATCCCTCAAGCCTCACAAATCCAAGAAGCTCTCCGAGAAATCGAAAAAATCTGTAAAGCACTCCCGTGAATCCAAGAAAACCGCAAAGCGTCCCCAGGAACCCAAGGATGCCGCGGAGCTTGCGGAGAAACCCAAAGGACACGAGGATGCGAAGAATGATGCAGGTGCCATCGGCGTGCCCAGCGCGCTCGGATCATTGGACCCGTTGACATCAGGACCACGTCCGGACGGTGTTGCTCCGCAGGAAGGTGCTGAGGTCCTCCAGGGCGATGTCAAGGAGGTCCCAGCCGCTTTAAAAGCTGCCTGTTTGCCGTGTTTGGCTCCTGCTCTTGCCTGTTTACCGTGTATGGCCGCAGCGCAGGGAGCGGTGAGTTTAGCGATCCTCCTATGACCTCCTGGATACACAATTCCATCCGAGCATATCTCTTCAGCATCCGGAGGAATGCTGGAGATGGATACGAGCTCGGACTCGCAATAATGTCGCGTTCTTTGATAGGGAGGAGCCGGTGAGACGGATGTACCTAAGGAACCTCCGAAAGTGGCGGGTGACGCGAAGGCAGGAGGCTTGTGTAGCTCAGGCCGAAAGGCAGCTCACCTTTCGAAACGATCCAAGAAATCGGCGAAATCGAAGAAATCGAAAAAATCGGCGAAAGCGAGTAAGAGACCTACATTAGAAAGACAACATTCCACGCATATGTCCCTCTGGCGACTGTTTATCAGGTCTCTCAGCGGTGACCGCGATTCCTGTCCTTGCCGTTCAGACCGTCGCCTATCCACCCCCTATCCCGTGCCCTCCTTCTATTATCCGCCTCCAATTGTCCCTCTGACACTCCTCTCTCCTGGCTCGTGGGGGGACCTTTAGCTGGGGAATTCCCGGGTTCAGCTGTCAAAAAGCTCCCCGATCTTATCATCGCCTCAGTTGAATAAGTTCGCATGCTGTTCCTTGCGTTGATCTGAAACTCGGTGGATTGCATCGGTCCGTCAGTGATATCGCTTCCCGGATGGCGAGTCCTCAAATTCAAGTCCATCGAGGGAATTTATCCATCAGATTTCTCATATCCAGACTTCCAGAGGCTGCAGCGGATCCTGGAGCGCTTCTTCCTGGCGGAGAGAAGCTCCCCGAGGCGCCCGGAGAAATGAACCAGAACTCTGCGCTGGAAGGGGTGAAACCCCCCGGGGTGCCCAATGGGGCCAACCTGGCAAGTGCGCCTGACGGAGTAAATTTACCAAGTGCGAAAGACGGCGTCAAGCTGCCTGCAGCGACTGATGTAGCTGGAATGCCGGTCGCGCGAAAGACGGATGGAGTCGATACGGCGGGAGCGCCTGCCAAGGCTGATAAGCTTGCCTCTATTTGTACCTGTCTACCATGCTTCGCAGCTCCGGTTGCCTTGGCAGCGAAATCGAAGGTCAGTTTGAAACCTATGCTCAGAAAGTTGTTGGATATTCCGTCTTATTCGGCTCTCCTTCTTGACTTGGACCGTGTGATCTCGATCTGACGAAGATCTCCGGTTTCCGCAGACGGGCTCGAAACTGGATGCGAATGATCCGTCGAAGCCGGCCAAATTGGATGAACCGAGATGGTGTAAGCCCGGCAAGAAGTCCTCGGGTCATGTTTCGAAAAAATCTAAGAAATCGGTCAAGTCGAAGAAATCAAAAAAATCTGCTAAGAAGTCGAAGGGATCGAAAAAATCCAAGAAATCAGCTAAGTCGAAAAAATCGAAAAAGTCAGCGAAGTCGAAGAAATCGAAAAAGTCAACGAAGTCGAAAAAATCGAAGTCTGAGGGATCCAAGAAGCCAGCGAGAGCTCCTGGCTCGGGGGAAGCTGAATTAACGAAGGAATCGGCGAAAACTGCGATCCTCGATAGTGCTGCGGAATCCAAGACATCCAAGAAATCGGCGAGATCAAGGACATCGAAGAAATCGGCGAAATCCAAGAAATCTGAGAAGTCTAAGAAGTCGAGTAAGTGTCAATAGCCGCCGGTCTTCTTCCGCTAATCGAGGCCCGAGTACGCCTTGGGATACGAGACGGATGATCCTTTCAGAGAAAAACTCAAAGGAACCAAAGAAGGTTTCCGACCAGCCAGGACCTAAGCCTGCGGATCCGAAAGACGTCAGAGCTGCGGCTCCGGAAGGTGAGTGAAATCGTGTATATGTATGATCACAAAGAAGATATCCGGTCCCTTTCACATCGATATATAAGGACTTACCTAACCCCTATTCGAACCATCCGATCTACGCAGGCCCTCCACCGATAGAGACGGACTCGCAGAAAATGGCCAAGAAGGTCTCCGCAATGGTCACCAAAAAAGTGAACAAGATTATGGATGAAGAATTGTCTAACAAAGTCTCTGAGAAGCTCAACAAGAAACTCGCGAAGAGGAAATTGGGAGGAGGCAACCGATCCAACAGAGCTGGAAGGAAGGGATCAAGAGTCAAGGGGCGCAAAAGTTCAAACAACGGAAGTTTGCGAGGCTCGAGTCCCTGTCCGAGTGTTTCTAGCAGACACCTAACCGAGACCGGTGCCCGCTCAAGGTCCACCGCCGGCTCGTCGGCTACCGACCGCAATACCACAACTTCCCGCGTCCACTTCCTGACACCCGAGTCGTCGATGAAAAATCTGCGCTCTTCCGAGGAGTTCAAGAGACGCGCGGCTGCTTTCAGAGCGAAGTTCCCCAAAGAATACCTTTCCACGACGACCGACAACGATGAGACTTCCGAATCGGTCGAATCTGTGGAAACTAGCCGTGGGGTACGAGACCCGTGGGCAGTAACTTGGTTGGCCGTCTTGCTCGTGCTCAACGCTATCACCTGGTACCAGACGATGCGAATCGTCAATCAGGCCAAGGACAAACTGTGAAGCCCCATCCCTGCTCGAAATCGGACTTGGAGATTCGCATAGAGGAGCGAAGCAGCTTATTCAGCATGGGCTGGAACCGATTGATTTCCGAGAAACGATATGCGAGTTTCGGACGGAATAAAAAACTCGAGCCCGGCGACTCCAATGAGTCCTCTCTCCCCATTACTGAAATTAGACCCTCCGTTCAAGTGGTCTCGACCGCGCTCATTTCCATGAGGACACTCCTGAGCTAACTAGGTTCCAGACGCCGACGCTCGCCCCTGACATTCAGTAATCGGCATTTTGAGTGTCCCCTCTCCTTCCACCACGGACTCCTCCTCCACATTTTCCTCTGATAGCTACATCCCATACTTCGTCTCGATCTGGGCCATGCTATGCTTGACGTCTGACATTTTTGCTCTTTCAGCCCTCGCAGAACCCCTGACTGTCTCTTCTAATCGTGAGCTACATGAGGACATCATCCTTGTGGCTTGAATCGTGACGAGTCCTTCGCCTTCCCTGTGCTCAGGCCCTCTCGAATATTGCGTTGATTGGGTCATTCATTCCCAGCGTTTGCCTCGCGCCGGCTCGTCGTCCGACCCACCCAAAAACCGCGGAATCTCTCCTACTACCTAATATACGCGGCAGAAGCCGAAAAAAAATTCGTGGGAAGAGTTGAGCATAATGTGGACATCATTCACTCAAATGCGGAATCGTACGCGCGACTTACTTGGATCTACCCATGGAAGGTGTGCGCATAATTTTGCGACCGGGGGTACCCCATGCTTCCGGCACACTTCACGGACATGCCTCCGTCCATGGAAATCATGCCTCTGATGGGGTTCGGCTAATTAGGACTGTATAAATTATTCGTGAAGCGGGTGTTTTCAGGGAACTGTTTATGGCTCCATCATAAGGTAAATTTCGAACCGAATCTTCCATAAGAGTTCCATGGCAATGCCGGGAAGTTTCCCATTTTCGTTAAAGCTTCAATGCAATTGATGAGAATAAATCGAGGGTCTCATTCTCGAGAAACGACTCCTCGTATATTCTGTGTAGAGTCCGTCCTCCATCCAGATGCGGTTCAGCTGTGGACACAGCTTCACGAGCCCTTCGAGGGTATCATTCCAGAACGAGCAATAGTCGAGTCGGAGGGTCCGGAGATTAGGTTCATGTTCGAGTAGATTCAACAGAGCAGCGTCGCTGACTTTTTCGCTATACAGAAGGGCAAGATGCTTCAAGCGAGCATGATGAGTCGCGATGCAGGCCATTGCTCGATCCGTCAAAGTTTGTGAGTCGATGAGCAAACTTTCCATATCAGGTGATCCGACACCTTTCTCGAAAGTTCGGTGTGTGAATCCATCGGCATCCATGAGACTCAGACTCTTGAGATTCTTGAGGAGATGGAGTTTGGATCCGTCGTGATCGCTGAGCTTGCCACATAGCAGCTCAAGCCTCTCGAGTTGACTCGAGCTTTGGATAATGAATGCGAAATCCTCCGGCTGGATATGATTGTGGGGCAGGATCAACGAACGGAGATTCTCGAAACTCAATAATTGGTGTATGTCATCGAGACTCGTGAAAGAGGACAATCCTAATTCCAGACGCCTGAGAGTTTTGAGCGGAGGGCAGCCCTCAACGCGTACGCCGCTGAAGTCAATGAGATTACAAGCGCTGAATCGCAGATGGCGGAGTTTCGTCAAACCGCCGATATAAAATAAGCAATCCTCTGTAAGAAGACGTGAGTTCTCAATTTCCAAGACTTCCAAATCGGGCGCGCTGAGCGCGAGTTTCTTCAGGTGCCGATTCTCCATACGTAGAGCATTACAAAGAGTCAGATTTCGGAGTTTGGTGCAGGCAGCGAGAGCGTCGTAGCTCTCGTCGGTCAGCTCCGAGCATGGTTGCAGCAAGAGGTCTTCGAGAGAATTCGAGAAGTCTTCCAAGATTGCTTTCACCAGAAACTCTTCGAGCTCGCTGGTCCTAACCCTCAACTGGGTCAGGTTGAGCCCCAATTCGGACATACACTCGGCTATGTCTGCGATGTGTTCTATTCGGGGGACCTCCAGAGACAAGGACGTGAGATTGGGCATCAAGTCTATTATGCGTTCGAGTGTTTCTATCTCCCAATATGCCGCGTCCTCCGTGTTCAGAGAAAAGTGTCGCAGCCTGAGTAGGGGCTCGCGGTCGCCACCATCATAGGAGTCAGATTCTCTGTTCTTCCGATCACAGTAATTACGGCGCCCATCTTGTACTGTAAGAGGGGAAACCCATTGAGCGTTCGCAGATCGCGCATTCTGATGGGAGTGGAAGAGGCCTCGGGAATTTCCGTGAAACTCTAGAAGACTCACGTCGGATGTTGAGGCTTTCCAAATTCGGGCAAGATTGGAGGATCGAATGCAGAACTTCGTGTGACCAATCACATCCCATGAGCTGCAATTCTCTGAGGTTTTCGCCGAATTTGCCCCAGAACTTTGGATCGAACTCGTAAAGTTTGGCTTCGGATTTGAAAAGCATTGTTGTTATCATGATACATGTAATGAAACATAGTGATCTGATTCCTCTATTATAGGGGGTTGGACCTCAGACTAGGGCGACCCGTGGCAGAACTCGACGATACCTCTCTGGAATATCAGGTTCCCGCACATACGCTGGCTCTCGACCATTGCCTCCTGAACGGGCTCCACCTCCGGACCTCGGACAACGAAGTCGATCTCTTCCGACATGGGCAGTTTGGATACGACGTCAGCCCATAGACGGCACGTCAAGGCGCAATTCAGTCGATCCAATGGATGGAGTTTCATCAGGAGCCGTTCGAGGAGCTGGGGAATTTGAAAACATTGAAAACCCTCGTTTGTGCCGTATACGAGCTATTGCACCCTGTACGAGTCGTGTTCCCGGAGCGCTGGGAACTCGGCACCATGATAAGAACTCTCTAGAGTATATGACAGCATTGGGAGGGGGATCTGATATGGGCGAGGGGAGAATTTCCACACCTACCGTCTGCGGAGGATTCGTCATCCTTTTTCTTCTGCGGCGACGAAACGACGTGAAATATGCTCCGAGCTGCTTGATCGCTCGCTTTTCTCAAGCTTCAGCACTCAACGAAGACTGTCTTTGATTCACAATCCGCTTGCATCGGGTTCTAGAGACAGAACGGAGTCGTCTGATCGAAGCTGACTGAGGGATCCGAATGACGATACTAGAAATCGCAATAAGGGCTCGGAATTCTGAAAAGTGCACTCGGGGACTCGGGCGATGGGGAGTTTTTGGAGAAGTCGCTCTCGAATGCGCGCGCGGGGAAGCGCACCGTGTGTTGGTCTGGAGACAGACACATGTCTAATTCGGCCGTTCGAACGTCGACGGACCGAACATCCTCGTGTGTCCGTGTGAGAAGCTGATGATAGTATAATTGACCACTGCCTGTCACGTCGTGTGGTGGAGGCTCCATGGAGTTCGCAATTTCGAATCGACACTGGATCCTTTTCGACGTCTTTCTTCTCAGAACCTTTCTGTTGTCTCATAGTTCTCCTCAGTTGGGAGAAGAAAGGCTCGCGTCCTGATCCTGACCATCATTCACCGAGACAAGCTAACTTTCTTTGCGACTGATTCTAGACTCGATTTAATCCACACCGACGTTTCCTGCCTGGCGGGGATCCCCAGCTCCGGCCTAGCTCGCAGCTTAGGGGTCGAGACTATTCGACCCTCACGGAAGACGCTGAGCCGAAAGGATTGGCGACTCTCGGTAGAAGTCATCGCGGACATGGACGCGACGCGAAAATATATCCAGGGAGGGGTGGAAGGTATCGGTAATAATGCATCCCGATCTCGTGAGCGGGGAGCTGGACGAATCTGCTCAAATCGAGTCCCTAGTCTTGAGCAGTCTACTGAGAGCGAAAATCCATCGCCCTCACGGACGTCGAACATTTCCTGCGCATGTTGAAATATACGTATCTCGATAGGTTTCACCGTCTTCTGATTCTTTGTGGTCGAAAGAAGACGACTGTTCTCTCGGTGAGCTCTCTAGCTGCGTCGCGATGGGATACCCGATCGGGAGACCCCAGCTAGTTCTCGGGGTGAACTACCGTTGGGATTCTCCTTAATCCATTGAAGCAGTATGAGAAGAGATATTCCGTGCTAGATATCGAGTCGGACCGTGACCTACCTCATTGTATTCCTCCAAATGGCGCAGTTCAACCCTGCGGCATCCCTCATGTCGGCGCCGAACTGAGGGAATGTCCGAGGTCTTCCCAGAGTTCCAGGAATAGGCCCTGAGGAACCCTTCCCGCCTCCCCTCACCCTTCTGAACAGAATAGATCCTCGATTGCCAGGATTATGAAACAGGATATTGGCTCTTCCTTTCCCAATACGGCGGGTGAGGATGAATCCGATCAGAATCCCTCTTACGCCCTCTCCCCCGAGGCCCTCGACGGGGAGGGCTCCAGAAGTGCCTGCGTCCCTCGCGGAAAGGAAAAGTCTACATAGTAGGTGAATCAGCGGGGGGGACATCAGATAGCAGACGCCGCTCGCCACTGCCCGACGCATACCTCTGAGATTGATTGGGCTACCGTATACGACCGAAAAACTCTGCCAACATTCCCCATGAGCGTAAGAGTATGAGATTTGCTGGCGCGAGTCCTAGCTCGTCGACCTCTGTACAGAGATTTCGCCTTCGATTTTAGCACCCGGCATGAAATCCATTTAGGTAATGGAGTCCCCAGCCGAGAATAATCGAGCTCGGATTGCCGTCGTGCGTCGATAGAGAAATTCCATTTCCGCTCATATCAAGCCATGTATTAGCCGGGATCGATGCAGGCCTAATTCCCCGAGAGGAACTCGCCTGCACTTGCGTAGAAGTATTCCGATGAATCGATGATGTACGACTGTATTGTTGCCGATCAGAACTTTATTCGGAGCTTGCAGAAGAAAGGTTGGAGGGTCGGAACCTGGGAACTTCTGATCGACGCGGATGAATTCGGGAGAGAGCATTATTCTAGCTCCGACTGGGCGAAGAGACCGAGAGACTCCCGGGTCTCATGCGCAACTCTATCGCTATTTTTCTTGTGACACAGAAGCCGACCAATGTACCCAACGAGCCAAGTTGCAGACTCTTCGAAGAGAATGGATACAATGGAGATCACTGTCGCGCGAAACGCAATTTCTCTGTTATCAGGGAAATGCTGCCGCGCCGTTTCCGCCATTATTCAGCCAGAATATTACAAACGGCACGGAAGAGGTAGTGACAGGATGCGTATTTCCCTTAATGGAATGGAGCAGACTCAAACCCTCGGACAACCTGCTCCGTTGTCGAAGCGCTCTTCGAACGAGGCATGAACAAAGACAACATTCGTACCCGTCAGAATGTGCGACTTCATGCGTGCCGACCGTGACTTCGTCCGACCCTTCCACGAAAGAGGTAGGAAAATTCCTTAGGCTTCAGCGATACGGCCTACAGAGAATCTGATGCGCGAATCATCCCGATCTCTCGGGGACTTCCTATGTATTGCGTCGGTGACGTCTGCGGCGCGCCGTTTGAGATAAGAGAGCGCTTGGTTCGATCCCGCATGATCCGGAAGAACGGGAATGGCTGTCCAAGTCTCGCGAAGCGCTGTTGCGCCTTGCCGCTAGTTGTCAGCTCGATCAGGATTTGCCGCCCGGGAGGACAGCCTCATCATTGAAGTACACGATATTCCTCTTCTATCTGAGGCGGATACTACCGATTCGCGAAAGTTTCAGAAAAAAACGCGTGTCAAAAAAACGATAAAACCTCGATTGATCCTGCATGTCACAACCGCGACGAATTCAAATCTTGCCGATGGTTGTAAGTATTCTGCGAGAGCCGTATCAGTGATCGGGGATTCTTTATCGAATCAGAATATGAATTCCCCCCGACAACCCTTGTGAGAATCACAGAAATCTTATAGAGTCAATCGAGCTTCTACAGGCAAGTCCCTACCGTTTCAGCGAAGACAGAGCATTCTTCCTGCTCCGACTGAGCGGCTTGACTGAGAGACCTTCAGTGATCATGCACAACAAAGTGTCGCGCGTCTTCCGCTCGTACTGCCTGCTTCTGAATGTGACGTCTTTCGCATTCCTCATCCAGAATGTGGTCATGGTCTTCTGCCCGCGATTCTCCATGCTCCCCCGTGTTGCATTCCTCCACAACATAACCACGGTTCACGGAAGTTCATTTTTGATCTGGAGCTCGATGTGCGCCCTCATGAGGGCCGCGGTGTCGTTGATTACTCTGAGCCCCAGCTACGCGAAGAGTTTGGATTCCTCGATGAAGTTGGTCCGAGGTGACCGTAGCGAACAACCGCGCTGCAGATTGGATATTATCCTCGTCTCTTCTGCCGGGGAGCGCCTGAAGCCCGCTTCCCATGAATTGCAGGAGATCTTCGTCTCGCTGGTGTCCGACCGACAAAAGCCTGTCTGTTGCAGAGCACACTGGTTCCGATCGTGCTCACCGCCCTGGTCGTCTCTCTCAACATGTCGATGTACAGAAGGTACGCTTCCGAGAATAGATCTCGGATCGATTTCATGTTTTACTATTTCCTCGTGCAGAGCCTTGTTTTCTCAACCGCGTGGATTTTCGGCTGCCAATTCCTCCACATGGTATCATTCGGCTACTTGCGGAGAATGTTCAACCTCCTCGCCTCCGACTTTGAGAAGTGGTCTTGCAGCGCCACGCAGTCCAAGAAGGATTTCCAGGTGATCCGATCGTCCATCGGTGCTTGTACGGGGAAATCGTTTTCGCCAAATAAATTCGAACATCCGGAACGCGACGCATCCGAGCATTAAAATGGTGCATCCTTCTCTCTCTAGCTCGCCTTGGAACGTCACACGATAGTTTGGCGATTGACAGACGCTTTTGATCGTGTCTTCAATGTCGTCATAGGAGTTTATCTCATCTTCTCGATCCCGATGGTCTGCATCCTCTCAAGTCAAATAACTAAAATCCTCGGTGAGCGAGATGTCAACCCCAATCTCCTTGAAATTCTCTGGTGTCTCATTCCCTGGAACGGATCGAACATCTCCTTCACTATACTCACCTGCATTTTCGCTTCGACTGTGAATACGGCGGTAAGCCCAATTCGTCGGTATTCTCCGCTCACGCTCCTCCCGCCGCCTTTGAGTGCTATCGGTGGAGAAAGAATGCTTCATTGATCGTTTGCGTTCTACAAAGAACTTCCTGAGAAGGGCCGCGCCGGCGCCCTACAGAAAGAGCTCTCTTGTAAGCTTGAGAGCCACTCAGGACAGCTCTGAGGACGCGGCGAACTCGCTTTCCAGAGACGCTCTGTTTAGATCCCAAACATCTCACGGCATCTTATCGCAGGAGTCGAGAATTCCGCCCTTCCGGAAAATGAATCGAACCTGAGCTGAGGTTGCGTCGCGGATATGGGAACGTCTTTCATTCGATTTCAGGCCGTGAAGCCGCGAGATCATTTGTACAGAATGAAGCAGGGTACCGAAAACGTTGACGTTGAACATTTCCTGAGAAGATTGAATGATTCCTCGATAGGTTTCACCTTCTTCAAATTCTTTGTCATCGAAAAGACGACTCTACTCTCGGTGAGCTTCTCAACTCCGTTGCTCTTCGAAGGCCGCTCCGAGATTTCGGGAATGGTGGTTACGATATGACTTTGAGCGAAGTCCGGAATGAATAATGTTGTGTGAAGTGATTGGATGAATATCTTCCTATATTTTGTATTCCAGTTGTCCAGTCTGACCGTGACGTATCTGATAGTGTTCCTTCAGATGGCACAACTCAGCTCAGCTTCTTCCCTCGTCTCGCCCCCGGTCTGACGTTGGAGCGATGCCTCATCCCTGACAGGCTTCGGAGGAAAGCTTCTCCCAAATCATGCCTTGAACCTCGCATCCACAATATTTCTTGATGGGATGGCGATGGAGCATTACAGCCCGATCCTTGGCGTTCCGCCGCGACGATGACGAATGATGCCTCCGATAAACTTAAACGTTGACGGCTTGATAGTGAGCGGACTTATCCTTCCATTGTAATTTTCTGCGCATCGTCCGCACAGACCACGAGTGAACGTATGTTCGCCTCTCTTGATCCTCCACTGTCGATTGGTGTTGAGGGGTTTTGCACGTAACCGGTACTTCCGACTCCCGACGGTCGCCAGTCATCATCGAGTCGGATGAAAACATCAGGTCAAGTTCTGCTCTCATTCAGGCGTCTCCTGTACTGCTCCAATCGAATAGTTCGGCGAGGCTCGACTCGTGACTCATCTCCGGCGAACCACCATCATCCAGATATCTGATGATGATTAAGGCTCGAAGACAAATGATAGCGATTGATGATTCCGTGTTCATGCATTATGCAAAAAGGTCGACCCTTGCGACAACGTCGAACAGTTTCCCCCTTTGGCCGAGCTAGGCCGGCGCCGTAACCCGAACTGCGCATTCAGATCGGTGGGATGGAAGTCTTAGGAGATACTGTGAATCCCTCCTGAGAGGCGCTCCACGAGTTTTCTTTCGATTGATGCAGGTAATGTTGCCAATTATTCGAGGACCTTATGAGGCCTTATGATGTCGCTCAAGTCTCAAGACTCGTCGCCACTCTCCCCGAGGAGCTCACTCGCAACTTGGAGCGCCCGCGAGCAGTCGCCCTCACCCGAACTCGCTCTCTGTGGACTCACTAGCGCTCGGACGTTGATGCATATTCCATTGTCACCGTTGCCTCTCCGATGATCATCGAGAGAGCTTCTCATCCCCAATCATCGCGGGGAAGAATTGTCCCCAACTCATGATTCTCTACCTCGATAGAATCGGCTCCCTGTGCGGAAAGCTCGGTGTTGTCTGCGCATGTGCCTCTTTCCACTCAGAGGAGCAGCCTCAGGTACAAGCGCGGCGCAATCGAAACGATATTCAAGAGTCGACTCATGCGATTCTCCCGAAAGAGCAATCCGTAGCGAAACTCGAGCCATGATTCGATATCGTGCAGACTCAGATGATTCTATGTACTCTCCGTGAGTTCCATTAGGACCTCCATTCTAGACTCGGATATTAGGCTCCTCATTCCCCACTCGCAGCGAGGAGAGGGCAAACATAGAATCGCATAATTGTTCCGAACCCACAGGCTCTCAGCGATGTCCGCGAATCGCACGTACCCGAAGGAGACAGTGTTCCACAGTCTCAGTCGGTAAGTTGACTATATAATATATACTGCTCAAGATCCCCTTCCGATACAGAGGCCTTTTCCCCTCATGGTGATTTCGAATGTGACTGTAGCTGATGCGCAAGGGCGCAGCCGCGGAGCGTGAGTGCCTCTGCGTCTACCTCAACACCCAATGGGAACACGCTAATACTGAGCTTCTAGGCAGGATCACGCTTTCCTCGTGCTCCGGATTTTCGGTTTGACTGAACGATCATCAGTCATCGCAGAGAGACGGGTATCGGTCGTGTTTCGTTTCTATTCTGCCGCTATCGCCATATCGGGACTCTTCCTCGCCGCGCAGAATATGGTCCTCGTATTCCTACCGCAATTCGCTGTCAATCCAATGTTCGGCGAGAAGTATTCGCTCCCGCAGAGATCCGTCTACCCTATGTGGTGCACGATGTGCGCTTTGTCGCGGATATGCGTGTCATACACGACGCTCTCCAGAAAGTTTGCTGAAGATCTCGGAGAAGCTATGACGACTTTACAAGGTGAGAGCCGCTGTCGGCTTGCATCCGGTTTGACCTGGCGAACTTATATTGGAAAGCTTTCCCCGAGGAATCCGCTCGGAAAGAATGAGGAAGATTCGGAAGATAACAAGAGTCTGCCTGAATGTTTCAGGCGAGACAAACTTGTGCAAATTCTGGATGCCTTCGAGAAGACACCGTACCTTGATGAATATAATAACGATATTTTTATTCACGATCCTCTATTCGATAAATCTCGGCACGTATGTCATATACTCGAAAATGACTTTCGAGCAGCTTGCTTCCGACCCAAGCTCTTACTTGTTCGCCCTGGAAAGTCTGATTCTTATCTCATCCTTCCTGGGGTGCCTCATCTTCCTGAGACTAATATCCGTCGGAACCCTGACCCGGATGTTCAGATCAGTGGATTCGGAGATCGCGGAATGGTGTGATGGAGGACGAAGACAAGAGGGGGCCCTCAGAGTGAGTCCACTGGATATCGTCTTCGCGGCTCCGGAGATGAGTCATGGCCAAGAGTCATGCTCGCGGGGCTCGATTGCAGATTGATCGGCGCCGATTTATTCCGTCAGAGCACTGAGCTCAGCAGTTAACGTTTGCCCTGACACCTTCTGCCGATATGTGGTCCGGCTGCCTTGAGTTTGTCGTCCCGTCTATGTCAGTCAGATGCATTCGAAGCAAGCATCATGTCTCTGTTCCAGGACTTGATGCAGCGTCACAACCTCTGCTGGGATGTGACGAATATATACGACAAGGTTTTCTCGAAAGTCATCGGCATTGCCTTCGTCTCCTGCGTCCCTGTCTTCTGCATAGTGACCACGCAGGTGACGAAAATGTTCACGGAACGAGGGATGAATGACAGCACGATCGGCTTCGCGCTTTATCTGCTGCTCTGGAGCCTAGCTTCCGTGTTGTCTGCGTCTCTGGTTTCGGATTTTGCAGCTTCAATCAATGATGCGGTTCGTATGTCGGAAGCATAGTGCTCAATGGACTTTACGATCCCATTGACGTCGGTCGGAGATAGAGACAATCATTTTTCCCCCTCTCAGGCCGCAGCTCCTCGCAAGCACCTGCTGAGGCTGAACGATGGCCACAATATACGTATTGAACACTTCGTGTCCCGTCTCAGCCAATGTAAGATTGGCTTCACTTTCTTCAATTTCTTCGTCATCGAAAGAACTACGATTTTGTCGGTGAGTATCGATCCCTCCGTCATGCACATATGCCCAATCCATATAGTATCGCAGGATCGAACGGAGATGTTTAAGCATGATGGATCGCCTGGATGAAGAGGGTCGAGAGATGTTTCCGGATATTCGTTCTTTACCGAGGTTTTTATCTATCCCAGGTACTCAGTCTGATGGTGACATATCTTGTGGTGTTCCTGCAGATGTCTCAGACGGATACCATAAAGCCCCAAGCGTCTAGAGAATGATAAAGGAAAGCCAAACAGAATCTCCCGATTCCAACCTGCATTCCAATTCGTACATTCGAGCGCGAGAACAACTCGTGCAATTCTTGTATGGAGGGGCCGAATCTGCGGGCCTACAGCGGAACGTTTGGATTGGCTGAAGACGTGCTATTCAGATTCTTCGGGACCAGGGAATTTCTGCAACCAGCACTTCGCGAACCGCGGCTTCCATCAGCGAACTTGTCATGAAATGGCCTCTTCGATCACTTTTCCTCCCACCCTTGACTCGGAAAGACGATGGAAAGGATTAGGGTTGCTCATGATTGATTTGACGGGCTCGAATATTTCCAGAACTCTAGATCATACTCTGACAGTCAGGGCTCTGGGCCGGGATGTTCCACCCAATCATCAGAGAGAAAGAGTGACTTCGCTAACATATGCATGCAGGGCCGTGGAGAGAACTCTGGGCCCGGTAGGAATTCAGTCATGGGCCGCTGATCTTAGCACGTCGTTTTCGAAGCGTCTGTTAAGATTGGCTTCCCCGTCTGAATTCTCATGCCGCATAGAGCTCGGTACGCCCGCCGGGTGAATTTTCTTACGCTGACAAAAAAGCGTGTATATTGGTGAGCTAGGGGCCCCCCGGCAGCTATGGGCCCGAGGGAGAATGTCCCGTTACTCTCCCCCTCTAATCGGGTTTGTATGCATGTGTGCATGATTGCAAGAAGAAAACATTGATGCTTCGTGACGAGGATAAAAACGTTTTGTGCTTTCCATCAATATTCGGGAGGGGCTCCCGGGAAGACCCACGACAAGCCTTCCCAGCGGGAAGAGCTGAGCGCCGTCTGATTCTGGATGCGGTATACATATGTAGCAATACGCAATACGCTCCATGGAAGTGCAATCAGCCCTGCTGTGCTACTCTTTTTGTGCGATCTGATGATGGGGTTCGCGAACATATCCGCTGCCAACAGCGCCAATCGTAGGGTCGTATGAGATCGACAGTTCACCACAAAGAATCCTAAAATATCCGAGATGGGGGGGGTCTATCGAGCCTTGAGGACCAGGATGCGGAAAATCCGGAACCGATTCCCCTCATCCTGAAGAAGGACGTTTCAGAACATCATTCTGTGCAGAGAGTATTCGAGCCGCTCGCCGAGCTTGGACCACCCAGGGATCCCCGGTTGGAATGACACCCATGCGTCTCGGTCCGGTTCGAGAGGAGGAGTCAGGGTGCCGCAATGCGAGCTGAGGAGGAAAGTCTTCAGGACGATTTTTGCGGAGCCGTAATAATAATTCTTTTGGGGAACCACTTTATTCCTCTCGACTCGATTCCTGGAGCTTATTTACAGAAGAAAAACCCAGTCTTTTGATAGCATGTCCGGTTTCGAGTCGATCTCCTCCCAACGAGGAGACGGTCGACGAATGATGGCACACATAGACTCTGGATCACTAGGTGGCGAGCGAAAATAATTGCTCCCCGTCGAGGGAATCGGCATCATCTCCTGTGATGAGTAAGGAAGGAATTCTCCAATCAATGGGACGATGGGTCCACTCCAATCAAATGATTGTAGGTATGATTTCTGAAAGCCTGTCGACAACATCTGCCTCGATCAGTTCCGCGCCACGATCCGTCGACGTCGCCTCCAATAAGTTATTCAGAGGAATCGGTTGCGCCTCGATTAGCGTTCATGGAGTTTGTTGGGGGTTCGAGCTGCGGAGTAAATATTGAATTGAGATGGGAGAGAATCAATGATGGGGGTCCAATGAAGACATGGGCTCAGGGAGAATCTTGCTTCATTCGGAAATGCTGTTAGTGGGAATCACCGAGAACTTACACTCGCACTTGCAGTAAGCACATCGTCCAGGCTTCTGTCGAACATAGCAGCCGTATTTAGCAGGACAGGAGTTTATTACGGGACATTGCGAATGGTCGCCTTGCAAGTTATTCCAGTAATCAGTTCCCTGCGGATGGTTGCTCTGGATGCCTTCCAGATGGCTTGGGAAACTCGGTCTAGGCGGACGATTCAGCTGAGGCGCAGCAGACTGATGATCCCCGAAGTTGAAGTCGAGTCCATTTCCTCCAATGATATCTTCGGCGGAATATGCTTGAGTATTCCCACCTAGAAATGAATCGGATCCAGACTTTGAGTCGTATCGAGAATCCGGAGTCATGGAGCCTCGAGGAATCCCCGCCGATGCCCCTGCGATGCTCAAGTAGGACCGTGCCGCGGCTTGTTCAGCGGGATCGATATCTCTTGAATGGACTTCGATCCCGCATTGGGGACCCCCGGACCAGGATGACAATTATTCACTTCCCAATCATGGCTTCCGGGAGACCTTCCCTCGCCGTAATTCTATTTGGTGGCCCAACAGCGAGTAGTAATGTTGCTCTTCTGGATCTTGCGGCACTGATATAAGGCCGACGTTTCTCGCTGGACATGAAGTAAGCGATCGAAGCAGCGATTCGACTTTGAGATCGATGCAAAAACTACTTACATTTGTATAGAACGCTTGTCGCTAAGAAATAATCGCTACGGCCCGTGAGTGAGGGTAAGCCCTGATCAACTTCTGGGGAGTGAGGCAGGGGATTCCCTGCGACTTATTGATCGCGTTCTCGAGGGAGCGGGAAGCCTCAATACCAATAGCTCGACCTGTGCCGTGTCGCCACCCACAGTAATGAGCTCCAATAGTGGTACACCGCAGAGATGTTCCGTGAAGTTCGCGATGGAAGAGGTTTGAGTTCGATAAATATCACAATCGGGTCCAAGCCCGCATGCTCGAAACCTGTGCTTGACAGCAGGATTCATCTCCGGCGAGAAGCGTGAAAAGAACGATGACGTTTTCGTATGTCGCGGACCCCATAAGAAACCCCATCGATTGTCCATCAACCGTCTCTGAGAGTAGCTCCTTCCATCCCGTCGTCCGCTATCCGTAAAGGTTTGCTGCAATACATGGCTTTTTACAGTCACGGTCATGTCTGCAACGCGTAGGCACCCGAAGCTGAGTCTCTGCAGCGAGCTCGGAAAGTGAGTTATCAGATAATCGACAGTAATAATCAGCCAGTAAGAGGCGCAAATAGGCGAGATTATTCAGATTCTGGTATTCGTCATCAAACCCATCGTTCAAGGCCAGAAGCCAGAAGGAGGTTCTCTCGGAGCCGGGTAGGAATCCCTAAAATGTTGCAGGCAAGATCAAGCATATTTGCTACTCAGGATCTTCGGACTGACCGAAAGGCCATCAGTTATCGTAGGGGATCGTGTCTCATTCGGTTTCCGTGTTTACTCGGGCGTCATCGCTGTTCTGACGTTTGCCTTCGCGGCTCAGAACATAAGCCTCGTTATTTCCCCCAATGGAGCATTCCATCCGATGTTCGACGAGAGGTTTACCGCCACCCACAGGTCCGTGTATCCTCTATGGTGTTTAATGTGCGCAACCATGAGGATATGTGTGTCGTACAAAACCCTATCGAGGGGATTCGGTAGAAGTTTCGCAGAAGCCGTGACGGATCTACAAAGTGAGTGGTCGATTTTAACCCCCCTTGGTCAATTCGATCAGGGAGCAGACTCGATCCAACGCAAGTAGTTCCGCTACATGAATGCCGCTCTTCCAGATGAGGACGGCTTGGCTCAACTTTGCGTACCGACTCGGAAGCACACCGTTATCAGCCATGTTGCCACATTGATGTTATTCTCCGCAGCGATTGTCGTCGATTCTTGCGTGTACAGACAATACGCCAATCAGAGCTTCAGAGGACTCGCCTCTCAACCGAAGTTCTACTCATTTCTGCTGGAAACCTTGGTTTTCGCCGCTTCTTTTGTAGGGGTTTTCACCTTCCTGAGTTTGATTTCCATCGGAACTCTCACAAGAATGTTCTCTTCCGTGGAATCAGAACTATATAGTTGGTCAAACGGGGAAGCGAAGTCGGAAAACACACTGAAGGTGAGTCGAGTAGTTTAGAGGGGAGCAATTATCTCGAACTCAAGCTCGCATGAGGTTACCGGATCCGGACAAGGTCCCGAATCTCGAGATTCCCATCGACGCCTACAGCGCAGTGCTCACTTTCCAGGTGATCATGCATCGCCACAACTTGTGTTGGCGACTGACAGAGTCGTACGATGAAGTCTTCCGTAATGTGTTGGGCTTCTGTTTCGTATTATGTGTGCCGATGTGCTGCCTGGTCATTGTGCAAGTGGTGACAGTTTACTCAGGGAGAGCTGCGAATGTCGACCGGCCATCCGTGGTGATTTTCCTGTTGCTCTGGAGTGTCGCGGGTGTGTTTTATGCGGCCATGATGTCGACGCTCGCCGCATCCATCAATGTCGCGGTTCGTTTCTCCTAATAATTCAATGCTCTTTGGGAAATCCGAATGCGCTCATGATACTTGGCCTAATTCCGTATATTAAAGGCGGCCGCCCCGCGGAAACACCTGATGAGGCTTGGAAGCGGTCAGAACATTCGTATTCTGCATTTTCAGACTCGTCTCAACGATTACAAGATTGGATTCACATTTTTCGATTTCTTCGTTATTGAGAAAACGACGGTCCTGACGGTCAGTGGGTGAACGATTGCCAGACGGTTTCAGAACGGTAGAAGGAATTGGAGTTCAACTCATGGTCGGCGCTCCGTATCCGTTGCTCGTGATATTGTTCAATAATCCCTGCATTATCTCCCGATCGGGTTTCAGCTATTCAGTTTGATGATTTCGTACCTGGTGGTTTTCCTGCAAATGGCGCAAGCGGACGCCTCGCTCTAACTGAGCCCTGCAGATCGAGCTCAGTCTCGAATCGAGCGCATGGTGAGCCTTGAATGGTTTTCACGGGCGCGCCGGGGACTCCGACTCAAAGTCAAGGGGTTTTCCAGACAGCATTCAGTGCCGTGCGCGGCAGATCATCGCCTCATCGATTCACCCCCCACAAAGGTCCATTGCTCATACAGTCTTGCGATTCGGATACTATCGCGATCATCGATCGGGATCTCCCTGATGGTCAAAAGCCCTAATCGATAATGCCGAAAATGACCGTCATCCTAACGAGGCACATCAGGTTTGGTTCGGTTGCTAAAATCAGATTTCACCCCAGGATTCACGTTGCGCATCTTGCCCTTGGTGGATACTGCTCGCGGTCAATTCTCTTCAAGACACAGGGATCAACCCGCAGGGTATTTGCTCTTGAATAAACTTGCGGGCCGTCATGCTGTTCAGAACAATCGGCGATTCTTCGAGGAGTCGATATTCGAACGTAATGCAGCCGGCAAGTAACATAGCAGATCCTATGCTCTCGTTTCTTGAAATACGGGGCGAAACTTTCTTGCGTAGATACCAATCGGGAGTCCCGCATGCTACTACGGGATCTCCTATAATCATAGAATCAGTGCAAGCTCGAATATTTTCTTTACCAAAAGTCATAAAACTAATACTTACGATGCAGGCTTTCGGGACCGAACAAGAAGGAATGCCACTGGCTCGCGGGCGCTTGGTTCTTAGGCGGTGCACGATATGGGTATGACGAAGGTATACTCGATGCAGATTCACCGAATGATGTGTGCGTCGACTGTGGAGAGCTGTCTTCTGCAGCGGACAAAAGGCGAGTGAGTGAGAATTCCTTTAGTTCCGTTAAAGAGTCAATGGTTGATACGACGTACAATCATCCATAATTTTCTGGCCATTGGATCGTAGGCGGTTTTCTTTCGAATCACGGCTTTTGTCCGGCGATCAAGGATCCCTTGAATAGCCGTTTCAGACGACAAAAGTCTCTAACAACATTTTTGACACCTTCAACTTCTGTAAACATGCGCGTCCGATTAAACAAGCGTTCCGACGATTCTCTGTCGCTTCTCAGGGTTTCCGGTTTATTGAGAAGCTCTCAACAACCATATTTGGCACCACCGAAGTCCGAATCGAGTGGGCACGATAAGCTTCGGTGGCTAAAATTGAAATCGGGTTCTAAAATAGATTCGGAGGGGGGACATCAACGAAATACACGGAAGCGTCGAAGCCAGCGCAGAAAATTCAAGACGAGAGGCTCGAATGGGCTGAGAAAGTAATTAATCGCCGTAAATGATCAGCCTTCTGCCCCGGCTCCTGAGAAGAATACAGCAAGGCTGGAATTCACTTCGCTAGAGACCGAGAGGTCGAGGCTCGATTCATTTGAGAGGCTCCGGGAGCGGAGTAATGAAAAACGATAAGGACAAAATTTCTCTACGAATTTTCGGCTAGGACACCGTCATCGAGCGAAGGGCTTCTTCGTTGAACATTCCTTGCTCTTTTCTAGGTCGTACGGGGCGCTGATTTCACAGGAGTTCAGAGCGTGGAGCAGCCGGCGAAGCGATGTTTGCCGCAAGAATCGGCGAACGAAGAGCGTGCCCGGAGATACGCGGCTCACGTCTCCGACCGGCAGGAGTATTCCCAAACAGTGTGAATCGGCCGGACACCACAGTGACTGGCAAGAACACCAGACCCCCGGAACTCATCAAGAGAGCGCATCTTAATCGCTAGTGCTGCTCTGTCTGTGTTGCGCGGGACCTTCTTCTCACCACGACAGTCGTTATGGTCGACCCTGCGATCGACGTTGACTGTGGGCCGCATGACGTCACGAACCACAACAATGACATTTATTCGCAGAGGAGGGCACCACGAAGTTGGAAGAAAAAAAACAGATCAAGAGAGTTCAGCCTATTACCCATGGGGTGATTAACTCCCTCCTTGGGGGCCGCGACGGAGAGAATGAGTCTTGTTTAGCATCTGACGCATTGTTTGGTCGTGGAGAATTGAGAGAGATTCGCCGCGTAAGTGTTCGGATCGTCGGGAATAAATCTACAATGGATACGTATCCACGGAGACGTCTAAATAGTCGACTTGACAACGAGAAGAGCTGGAGCAGTCATCGGCATCCTACCATGCCGCTTAGACTTTAAGAAAACAGAGTTGCAGAACTTACGAACGAGCAGCACGAGGTACTGATATTGACCGAAAGGATCGTTGCTCGACTCTGTCGCCGCGTGTTGAAGGTCGTGAGGGAACGACACAACGCCTGGAAAACAAGTTTGATATTAGCTCGAGATTCATCGGCTCCAGCGAACGAGCCGCCATTCTATTCATGCGATTATCGGGCGGATCCTTCGCCGGGTTCAAAGTGGAATAAATCTTACAACACGATTGACGCTCTCCTCGAACCACTGGAATTTATGAGGGAGTTCGTGGTACACTGAATGAACTCACTAACAACAAAAGACTCATCTTTGCTCCCTACTGCCAATCGAGTCGAATTCTAAGCTGCGGCAGATTACTGCTAAGCAACCTATCCGTAATTTGTCGGTATCGCAAGAAATTGTTCTGGATATATCATTCCATCGTCACTTGCCGATTTGAGTCACACGGAAGCCCCAGAATTGGTCCTTCGGTATCTCGATCGTTTATTAGCCTCGGATTCGGCCTTCAGTGAATGCGCATGCGTTTCAGAGACTAATTTCGCGTCCCGAAATCCCGTCCCTCACACTCCTACTCGGTAATTCGATCGTATCGGTTTATCGACTTGTCCGCGAAGAATTTCCAGTGTTTGGTGTTATGTATAAGGTTCCGTCTTCGGCTCGCACTATTAGATAGATTGACAAGTTCGGCGACAAGTCAAATCATAGTTGACATTGTTGAGCCACTGGGTCTCGTGAAATAAGAAAACTTCGATCATTGCGGAGATTTACCATCGCAGCTCGTTCAAGGAAACTCGTCCGGATCACGTCTTCTGATGTCACTCGTAGCCCCGGGCCCGGACGGAACTGCCTGGGGCGACGGCACGCCCTCCCAACGGTCGGTCTGCACCAGTGACCATGCTCATTTATCTGTCTGTCATCAGAAGAATTTCATTCCGCATCAGGAAACAGTTTGCCATCGGCGACCGCTGATTACTGCTCCATCGACTGATTCATTTTCGAAGCACTGTGATTGGACCTGAACGCCACCGAGCTCCATTACGAAATCGCACGTCACGTTTGTTCGCGATATATGTAGCGACAAATGCGGTTAATTTCCTAACACGCTTCGCTGCGTAAGATTGAGAGGCTTCGCAAGAAAACACGCATCTCCTCGGTAGAAATATTCGCTCGACACAAGATCTACAGTCATGAGCGAAGATTGGGCAATGCCTACCGTGTCGTGATTCGATAGCCCTGCTCACGCGAAGCGGAACGTAGGCTCAGAGATTCGAAGTTCACGCGGGAGTTCCTTTAGATACGCGCCTTGCAGGATATAGGCGATTCGTTTGATGGAAGGACTTTTCAGATACTTCGTTCGCGTGTTTGCTCTCTTTCGCGCGGCAAGGACCGTGAAGAGAATCTGAGTGACCTTTTGAGTATTTTCTCTTCTCGGTGAAACTGCGACGTCCGTCCTGTACTTTTCATCCGAATACTTTTCTGTAGTTCCAGACGGAATCATGTTCTCTGGAACATTCCTCAACCCCAATGAGAAGGACGTTCTAGTTCAAACAAGACCTTTGGAACATATACCGCTAATCCAATCCGGAAAACTGGCGAGCACGAACTGAATGCTCAACCACAGGCGAATTATCCGAAATATTTGAGTCGCTCCCCCTTGGGAATCGGGAAACGATACCGATCTGCAGGGCGTCCATAAACATCGAAAGGAACAACAGCTATGAGATTCTCAAGCTTATCAGACGATTCTTTCGTCATCCGTCCGCGGGGAATCCCGATAAGTTGTTTGACCAGACCCCTTCATGCCAGCACATGACCACTCCTGCTGCTAAGGGAACTGATCGATGATACGGCATGGGTGGAGAGAGGAGACCTGTCGGGGGCATGCAGAATCGAAAGTTTCTCTCGATGCCTGCTCCGGGGAGGCCACAGAGTCGTTGTTCGCTTCCTCATGGAGTTGGGCACGGGAACATCGACTTGATAATTCGGAACAGTTTTCGGGCAACGTGCCTTGATTCGAGCCGACTCCAAATGTGCGTTCCCGTATTCGGAGCGAGCGTTCCTTGTGGTTTTTCGAAGCAGAAACTGGGCTCACCTGAGTGTATGGCGCATCAAAACGAATCCCCCCGCAGCCGATATCAAGCCCTGAGCATGACGTAGCGATTATCTCAGGGCTGTGACGAGCTTGCTTTATCTGAAGTCGCACGAGTTGTCAACGGGAGTCAACTTGTGTCATTATTTTAATTTACCAGTGGGAAAACCTCATGTCCCACCTTGTTCACGGAATTAGTGCCAGAATATGCGTCGAGGGGAGAGATCGTATCACGAAAATAGCTGAGGCTGGACATTCATCTTCACCACGATATCTCGGATTCTGGCCTCGAATACGAACGGGAGTCGAAAATAGGCGACTTCCACCGGGACTGTTTCAGACGATGTCCTGGTCCAAGAATAGTTTGCTCTCCCCTCCCCTCCTTGAATAGCGAGCACTTTTATTGCTTTTCTTCGTTACCGTCCAGGGAATTGGACGTGTTCACCGGAGGCGTGTGTTCAAACCGAAAACTGCTATTTGAAGTATTATATTTAGATCCATGGACCGATATGCTCATCCTTATATAAGACCGCGATGACTTCGTTCCTTATCGATCGGATACATCCTCATCGTGATACAATAGCGGGTTCAAGGATAAATTCGTGTTTTCATATCATTCGATTAGAACACGATTTACAATCATTGTTCTCATATAACTTGATGTCACCCAATTGCATCAGTCAGGGAAATTCCGCCCAGCTCCCGAGCTACACGATTAACGATCAATCGTTTATTATGACAATGCCGACCAGCATCCGAGCGCACGCACAGAGCTTATGGATTCCTTCTTGAAGTACCTCCCCATTTCAGTGTTTCGGATGACCTGATAGCGAATCGTCCGATGTCAAATGTAACTCGATGAGCGATAAGCTCAAGATCGGTTGGCGGTTTCGCGAAGCTGGTAGGGGTCGCGTGCTTCATCTCCTCAAACCCGCATCATCGAATATTTCATCAGCACCGGATCGGTACCATCACTTCAAGTTATCAAGACTGCGACCACATTCCGATCCTCAGCCCGAGGTTGAGATCACGAAGTCATTGTCGTGAGAAGGCTTGAAGGGGTAAATTCTCTTCATACTTGATTGCTCGAGCGATGGCTCAAAGGTTGCAGGAAATGTCTGACAGAAAAAAAGGCTCCCCGTTGCATACCCTGGTCACCGTCACCGGTTTGGGAAAAAGTCTACTAAACTGGATTCACGGTGAGATCGGGTGTCGCCTAATTCAACAGCACCAGAACTAAATAGCAGTTGAGCCGGCAGCCTGAGGCTCCTTCTGCTAGTTGGATTGAGCTTCAACTAGCGACGATGAGAAGTTCCCTTCGTGATCCAGATAACCTCTGTCGGACCCGCCGACTTCATGTAACAATGAAGCAGACGGAGCTCACAACGCCAGACTGACACAGCTTTATTTCCCGTTTCAGTCCAGAAGACTTTCATCTTCTTCCGACCTTGACCCGACGCATGCGAACGCGATTGCAAGGGTTCTGCATTTAACTCCTGTAAGTTTCGAAAGGGGAAAACACAATTTCCTTTTATATTCCCTCCCCCATGGATGTCGATATTGAAGCTGGAAAGCGTGAGGACGGGCAAGTTGGCCACCTCGACCCGAGACGCTTAGGGTCCCAGCCGAGAAAATCATCGAAACCATCATTATCAACAAAACTCATAAAACCCCAACTCCTATCGTGCTATTCATCGGCTGTAATGTCGATTGTGCAGACTCGACGACAATGGCGCGGAAGACGGAGAAGGCTCCTCTTCATTCCTTCCGACTGTATGTCCGCGATGCCATATTGTTACGAGAGCATCCGGAAATGTTCTGGAACACTTTCTGTTCAGAATTAACACTCGACTTCTCGAGACAAGGATTGTTGTTCTGTCGCAGACGCGCTTGATGGCCTACAAGAAGGTGATCGGGTCGGCCATCGCGAACATTGTCGAGACTGGCGACGATGGAGCCCGCCCCTTCGGGTTTTGTTCCCGAGTTTCCCGATTCGTCATGTCTGTTGGAAGACAAACCTCCTCCAAGGCCTCCCTATGTACCCTCAAGGGAACACCCCCTCCCTTCTCGTGTCCCTCAAGGGATTCCGCGATCGCGAGCCCGGTGCCCGGGCCGGTCTCCTCCACAGCATGCTCAGCCTACACCGATAGTGCCAAGCATCTTTCTGAATAACGCTTCCAAGTTCAGCCAGACGGGTCAATCACAGTAGAGCGGAAAGTCTTTGACCTTACAGTTTTCAATATTCGACGTTCAATGGGTATCCATTTCATAAATGACTGAAACCTGGAGAATGCAAGCTGTTTTCCCCCTCATTGGGGTATCGCGCCTCGGTGGTTTTTGTGTAGGAGTGCTCCAAGGGATGAATGTGAAGTCATTCCGAAAACCTCTCAAAACAACAGAAAACCAATTTTGCCTTGACATCCTACCCCCCGAACATCGGGGATGGAGAACCGTCGGGATGAGGACGGCGGAAAATCGGAGCCGAACGTGCTCTGGATTCCGATACGGTTCTGCATGGAGATTCTCGAGTTCCCGATTGCAGAGAGTTTTCTTAGGACAGAGTTTCACCCATTTGCATTCGATGACATCCACCCCTCCATGAATATCAATGGATGGCGGGCAGTAGGGAGATCATGCATGGCGCCCGGCACGGTAACGAGCCGAGCGCGCAGAAAACCGGCGCGGCGTTGTGAGAGATCTGACAGGATCCCGGCACGCTTCTTGAAGATCTCGCTTCGTAATTCTAACGTTGCAATGATGAGAGATGATCACGGGACGATTCCAAAAATCATTTCGAGTCGATGACTTCTTTATTTGGAACTGTTTACATTGGGAAGAGAAATCAACGGACTCGGTAGGTCTCTTCGGAAGTAACAGAACGCAGACTTCGTAGATTTTCTTAAATAATAGCAATAATTATAACCTCCACAGCGATTCATGGATTCGTCTATACAGAACGACTAACGACGTCTCCTCCCCGGAGCGCCAGAACCAGATGGAGCACGGATCCACCAGTCACCTTGTAGTCGCTGGCGGTTTTATCGTCGTTCATCTGTTTTCCCGAGAAGATGAGTCTCTGCTGTGCCGGTGGGATACCCTCTTTTTCTTCAACGCGTTCCTTGATTCGCTCCACTTTGTCCGTGGGTTCGATGTCGATCTCAATCTCCTTGCCGGTCAGCGTTTTCACTTTAATCAACATCCTGGACTCGGTTCAATTCGTTCCGAATCCTTGCCGAAACCCACTGAGTTCACGATTCGCTCTTGTTTTCGATCGACCACCAGCACCCGTCAACGAGATTCCGGCGAGAACGAAGCGGGGATCTAGTGTGGAGTGAATGAACGCATTCTCGCTCGCTCCCGGGCTCTCGGCGCGAGTAAGTCTTTAAGGTCGCTGAAACTAAGATTCCGAGCACCGCGGAACGAGCTATCCCCTGAAGTCTCCCAGACATGGTGTCTCCGTCGGGCCGAGTCTCCCTCGTGGATGATCATTGAGAAGAAACTCCATGGAATCATGATCTGAGAGATGGTGACGAGCTCGCGAACCATTTCTGCAGCTCACATGCGGCAGAGCTCGCTCGAGTCGTCGGACTCCCGTTGGCTGTCCCTGGATTCGGACCGGCAGCGCGGAGCAATTCCGATCGGCTCGTAAACTTCGGAGACTTGGTTAGTGAATTTTCAAGAAATCTCCATCAAGCCGAAACCCTCAAGAATATTGGCGTCGACAGAAACATCCTAGCCGCGGAGGAGTCATGCATTGAATATTCTTGCTGGAATCCTAATATTCGGATCCATCGAATCATCAGTGATCTCGGAGGCACACAGGATTTCGCCTCCGGGAAGAGTCGAATTCCGGACAGGGCTAGGAGTCCGAAATGATGACGTTTCTCCTCGAGGTCTGTACTGGCGGGTCGGGACCTCTTCCCCTTTGGGATTTCTAGCAGAAAAAGGGGGGCATACTCCGCTCGTCAGACCAGCAGATGAAATCCTTCAGGTCATGATTGAGCCGCGCGAGTTCGGAATCGATTCGGTCAATGTATCGAGGTACGCGTGTCGACAAGGGGCACCGCCCACACAATCTGAGATTGGGGATTGTTCTGAAGCCTCAGTGGAACGTTCGGTTTTGGGTGCCAAGGATCAAGGACTGGGCATTGACGGAGTCGTAAATTCAGTGAATCGGGAATCAAGAGCTGGAGTCGACGTACCTCCATTCATCGGCTCGCAGTCCCGAAACTTTCCTTTCTGAAGTATTCGAAGCATCCATCAGCGAAATACTGAGCATTGTGAGAGGAATACAGGGATAATGATCTGAAAGACCTCAATAGTGAGTCTCCCAAATCCTTTCAAGTTCTGCTTTCGACATGGGATCGCCTTGACCAAGGAAATTCTGTTTTTCTGTCCAACTTACAGTGAGGGATGGGAGAAGCGCGACGAATCAGATCGGGCACCAATCGTCGATTGACGACTGGAATCGCCGTCAATCATCGCTGCCGATAAGCATCGGTCGGCTGGGGGTCGACCATATCGAACCGGTGAAGCGAACCACATCTAATGCTACGCTTTCAGACCGAGTAAATTATGCGTATCACATTGTTCCTCAGCGTCAACTGGAAATTCTCACGTTTTCAAAATTTCAATGCTTCACAAATAGAATCGGCGAGTGCTCCGATTCTGAGCACTTGAACCTCACATTCGCAACCTGATTACCGATGGTCGACTTCGTGCCGTGGAGCAAAACGCTATTCACGCTCTTGCTTGTCAAAAGTCGCCTGGTACCCGCAGATCTCCGTCAGGCGCGCAGTGCCGACTTGGGATCAGGTTCGATAAGCTCGTTGACAGGAAAGATCGCCGGTATCGCTACCAATCGCGGAACGGTCCGAAGCGGGCCCACCCGGGGACACATAGTCTTGATCTTGTCTTTGAGCCATCGAAATGAAAAAATAAGATGCCCCCAAAGACAGGATCTCGCGCTGTCGGATATCCCGACCCTTTTCGAGCATGACATCGTCCAGCAGTCTCAAATCCCCCTCAAGTCGGCGAGGGCGCGCCGGCTCGAAGATTCGGTGCCTTTTGTGGTCAAACGACAGCTAGAGAGCTCCATCCATGAAAGGGACATCTCTGACTGTCTGCTCTCCCGAGCCCAAGAGACCGAGCTTCCGAGCGAGAATCGTAAGAGCATCGACCAATCGGAGGGCGCATCGAAACGCAGCGAATTTCTTCCAGGATTCTGAGACTGAAGCGAGCAGGATTGCGAAGGCGATCTTGGGAGCACCGATGCCGGATGAATGTGGCTGCGGCGAGAACCAGAGTAACTCCTCCAAACTTCACATGTACCCCTTCACGGACATCCCGATGCCATTTCACGAGTGCCAAATCGAGAACTCCTCAGAGGAAGGAAAAAGCAGCTACCTAATCGATTTTGATGCCGAGGGAGCAGTTCCTCGAAATCGATTGGCTCGCAGGGGGCATTGGTGTTCCATGACCACAGGAGAGTCAGGTTTGAAGTTTTCCAGACATTAAGTCAGAGATTTCCCACCGCCGACATGATATCTAGTAGAACTCGGATGAATATGTATCCTTACCTGTCGCCAGAGTTATTGCACCGATCAAGGTGGCAGCAAACATATCCAAAGATTTTTCGTCACACTGAACCAATGCAGACCCTACTTTTGACGACCTCTGGACACAGACTTCTGAAGCGCACTGAATCTTAGCGGATGTCCGCGCACGCACAGCCCCGTAGATCCGACGCCTTCTCTCCGCGACAGCGCGAGCGAGCGAAGACGAAAACCGTTACGTTTTTGTGATGGGGAAAGACGCCTCTGCGGTAAGAAGAAAACTGCTGGACATTCTAGTCATGGAGCGAAGCGCCCAGGTACAAATCACAAACTATAATTCAAGCCGGCCTTTAGGAAGACGGCATCAACTGCAAGAATAGCTTCATACGATTTTCTGTTTTGAAATTGATTGTCTCCCCTCCGTCATGACTACCCTACGGTCGACTTTGAAGCTTCCCTGGCCGCGAACTGGAAGGTTCCTCATTGATTATCATCTCTCACGGTACCGTTTCCATCATCTCCGATCGGCTCCGTATCCTGCTCGTATTCAAGCAATTTTTCTGCGGATTCCGCATTATTTACCGAGCCCCCGATTTGAATTGAAGGAGAACGGTCAGGGATTGAATCGGGAAGTCAATTTCTTCCGTAGCTAAGTGTTCGCAGAACGGTAGTCTCGGAGGAAGAATCGCTTGTGCTCGTGGAAACAGATTCACGTTCTAGGAGCTCCAGGCTGATCGTAGGAATTTCCTTCCATAGAGCCATCCTCGATCTCTTACGTCAAATCGTATGCGATCTTAATTCCTGCGGCGTATGTATGTACTTACATTTATGCCCGCTGTCTTGGGGCTCTGGGTATCTCCCGACCAGAATGCCAGTTTAAGGAACAGCCGTGAGCCATCCCTAGGCATTGCGAATTCCGAAGAAACCGCGATTAAGGTTGACCGCGAGCGAAAAACCCCGCTTACGGTTTCTTCACGGTGAACGAGTAGAAATGAGCGAGCTATGATTTTTCCGCGGTTCGGAGCACCCGTAGACCATTCGATGACGAGAGTTTTGATTCTTACAGCGGAAACCGATATACGTGATCAGATTCTAGTCAATTCGCTGTAGTTCCTAGGCGGGCTGCAGTAGGAGGAATATTCCTTGCGGAGTAGTCCGCACGATTCACGTTTTCATCTCATGTCCTTCCTCAGAGGTATCCGCGGTCGTGGATATCGGCTTGGTGTACGTAAAGTTTTGAGTCGTAGAGCGTCATGAAAGTGTGCGCTCCCGACGGAACGTGGAGAAAGCGGCGTGGTGGACTTTTGAGAGTCCTCGCTGCAACGCTCCCCAGACGATGAAAATGTTGTCACTGGTCTTGGCTTCATGTCTCGCTCGATTCCCGCTGCTCCTCACTGGAGTCCTCTTCGGGCTAGAGCGCTGTGGGGATCGCCATAAAGCCTTGCCACAGAAAGTTGAGGGGGGACCCCGAATGCACTCATCCGACGCCAATGGCCCGAGTAAAGACAAAATTATTTCACGGCTCCAACCTTTCAATAACATCATTTTAAAGCGGAACGTCCTTTTCCTCTACGGCTGAACGTGTCGAAACGATATCTGTGGACTTTGTTTCTTCTGGTCACAGCGAACGTGCGCGTGTCGGAAAACTGGCCGTCTGATGAACGGTCGGCCTGTCGGTCGGCCAGTGAGGCACTCAAGCAGATAGTCAGCCAGCGAGCTGTCTTTCAAGGGTCAAACCTTCGCAGGCTCCCGTTGGATCATACACACGATTCCCGTTCTGCTTTAAACATGATTGTCATTCTTTGTTCTGCGATGATGAGCAGCGTAATGTTCCGTGGAGAGAAAGCATGCTTCACATGGGAGTATGTATTTGGGAGACAGCCTCAGTTATCAGCTGCATAGGTGCCTATAGACCCGCGAGACTCGGCGTCTGGTCTCGGAAAACCGGCGCTCAGACCCCGAGGCACCTGAACGACCGAGATAAGTCGATCGCAATTCTCGTGAGCCTGATGAATTCTCTCGCCTCAGTGCGGAACGGCCGGGTACCGGATGCCTGATTGGAACATCTCACAATACGCCCACGCTGCAGCCGTTGGATAGATGACGGTCAGACGTCTGCGGCTTTGGACTTTCACGGATTGCCCCGCACACAAGTGGGGTCAACACATCATGGTATCCGTTTCTGACGGCCTAAGATCCATGCCGGTCGCCAGAAGTCAGCACTGCATTAGAACTTAATGACCGGACGAATGAATATTCGGCCACGTAGCATTTCGGCTGGAATGGGTTGCAGTGATTTCCTCCCGCAGACTAGATGAATCAACCTTTCGAAATGTTCGTGCAGGGAAATTGACAGTTGAATCATTGAACCTGAGCAGACCCGTAGACATATTATCAGAAGCGCTCCGGCGTATTCAAGATCGCGATTGTTGTTCAGCGACTCGTCCACTGACGGTAGATTCCGATCATCCATGGCCGGCTCTTCATTGGAAAATTCACTTCATCGCGATACCTGCGGAATGTGGATTTCGATAGCCAATTAATCGCGTTTCGAGTCGTGGTCGTGTTTCTGCTAGTCTCACAGGGGCTGTAATCATTTCTATTTTATGGATTCATGATCGCTTGCCGAGATAAAAGGGGAGTCATCGTGGGCAACGAAGAGGTGCCGAACCGTAGCTCAGAGTATTATTGTTCGTCGCGGAATTCGAGCCAATGATCCGCCGTACCGAAAGCACATTTTCATCGACATCTCGCGTTGATTTCCAACAAGTGGAATATCGAAAGGGTTGTAAAGCCGTGGCTCATTCGGGGTCTCATGTTTATTTGGAACCGATCTCTCCATTTCGAAATGCTTTATTGAATTTCGCGATAATATTCTTTTCGGTAAGCGATCCCGGACGCTAAGGTGTTTATGCGACTATAAATCGGTGGAGTCACTCTCCCCAAACGGGATTCGTTTACACCAAGAAAAATCAAAGTAATTCTTAAAAGTTTTGGTGCCTTAGGAGGTCTTATGAGCGCTGTTTATGTGCACGATGAGCTTCGGCGGGAAAGCCACAATATCGTCAGTCGTGCCCATAACGGAACCGTGGTTTACGATGCACATGTCAACCAGTGAAGACTGCTTTTTTCGTTCTGACCCCGGAACGAAAGCCCCGGCGATCGCTTGTACATACTCACACTGTGTCGTACAGAAAGTTTGTCCTTCCGAGGGAATGAAACCTCCGGATCCCTGGGAATATTTCGAAAATATGTTTGGTCCGAGGAACGAAGATGAGTGGCGCTAATCTAAGGAGCGTATACCCAAGTCTAACAGACCGCTTCCGAAAAAGATAAATCTGGAGCATCGAACTGTGATTGCTCGCTCCGCATCGTGCCGACATGCGTCTCCAGAGGGCAGAGTTCCACTGGGAAGGGATCCTTTGGATCTTCGAGAAAAGTTCTCGGAAAGCGTGACCGTGAGCAACTAACTCACGGCTCGAGCAATTTGAATCAAGCATGGGGTCAACATATTATTGTCGGCTTCCCCAGCGACTGAGCACCGAGATTCTCGCTTGTTCTTTCGTCAGTGAACGGTGAGCGCAGGCTCCCTATTGGGGGCGGGAGTTCGCACTGATGATGCGCCATATGAGGTCCCACGTTTCCGATGGGTCGAAGGAAAAAATCCGATGCTCGAGCGTGCTCCCTAAGGTCCGATGCGGATACGAAGCCGCGGGGAATGTCCTAACAATCGATCGAAGCCGTGCAACTGTCGACGAGAGAGATAAGAATGCCGCTCTATCATTCATATTCATATTTTATTAGGGGGTGAAAAGGCTCCCGACCTCCGGTAGGTGCAATCAAATCGGAAGTAATATTCGGCTGTGTTAATATTGTCAAGCTTCGAGGAGTTTCGTAGGTCGGCCTCAGATCTTACTATTCCGCCGGCAAACTAGAGGCCGCTCGAATGAGACCGAACCGAGCTATCGTCTCTCAAATCCGAAACTGGACCTCCTACAAAACCTCGAAGCTGAAGTCTATCGAGATCAATTTCTCGATTTCCATCGGGAACGAATGCAGAGCCGATGGAGACGATTCGAAGCGCTGCGGTGGGTTAGATCCATCGCCTTCCTCCCATTCTTCGCGAGTATCAAGATCTGGACGGTGCCTCTGTCGCCGACATGAGCGTCGTTGCAATATACCTAACACGAATGAAATCTTCGGGAGTAATTTATTCGGGTTTCGAACCCTGTCTCTATTGCGTCTCCTTGATTGACACGAGGTGGAGAGCCGAACTGCCCCAGGTAAATTACGATTGGTACTTCGAGCCCAACATGAGGACTGGCATCGAACTAATCTTTCCGTACAAGACATGGCCCCTGTCGGCTTCAGAGAGGTGAGTTTTTGGCCCGTATTGTTGGAAGTCTCTCAGAACCGAGTTTTACTGGACTTCCTCACGCTAAGTTCCCGCGCAAGCCTATAGCGCAAGCCCTCAAGATGACCACAAGATAAGAAAGCGTTTTTGCTTCGGGAATTTGAGCTTGATGCGTCATAGCCGAAGTTTCGTCACGTTCCGGAGCGTCTTCCCCGATATCCAGCAGGATCCGAGTAGCAGAAAAACCGTCGTGGAATGACCAGCGGTCAATGAAAGGGGGTTCTCTTCATTGACTGCTCCATCCGAGAAATCTTTGTCAGCTCTTGCTTTTTCTGTTCGTCGCCGACCTTGCACTTCTGGAAGATCTCATTTACCAAACGCCGCAGCAAGATTTCGGAAGTATCGGACTGATGTGTGTCAGATCATATTCCCCTCGACCGCGATTGCAACAACGCTACTCTGGCGGTCGATCCGTCAATTCGCTGCCGCTGCTACCACGACTACCACTACTACACTAGGAATCATGAGACGATCTGTAGCGCGACGCTCTTTCAGTCGGCGGTATTCTCGCAGGCGCTCGCCTGCGTAGACGTGGGGGCTGGGGAGGCTCCGTCCCTGATCGTTCCGGACCACTGCGCAGTGTTTTTGTTGGGAGGAGGTTTGCTTGCTCAAATCAGGACCGACAAGCAATGACGTCATGCGATGGATTTGAGTCGCTAGCGTCGAGCTAAACCGTTCAGAGGATTCGTAGAATTGAAAGTTCCCCCAGCAGAACCTCCTCGCCATCTGAAAACTTTCATGTGGTCTGTGCCTGGTCGAGATAAGATGTTTAGCGTTATGCAAGAGGTCGTTTCTGATTGAAATTTTTCTTACAGCTTGTTTGTGAGAAGATTGTTGACTATGGCCTAAAGATGTGTAGTCTGCCTTGGGCGACCGTGAACATCGGTGCCCCCGTATCTGCGTCGACTGCAGACACAAGTTGCCTCACTTTTCGATCAAAGCCAACATTGAACACCTCAGTCTACGTGCGTCCCCGTGTCTGTCACTACGACCGGAGCCTTCAATGTGGAGGATATAAACGTGAAATAAGGCTGTCGAGTCTTCCTCAACCCCAAAACAGAGCGAGAGTACGACAGTGCTACGAATCGACCTTTTCTCTTTCTATCGACTTACAGCTAGGTTGATCACAGCGACATTCCAGCGTATCACGACAGGAAAGTCTCCGACTCATTAGAGCCTGGCGATAACTTTCACCCGAGCTTACGGTTCACTCTCGCTTCTTTATTTCGAAATTAAGTTGAAATTGCGAACAGAAATGGTCCCTCGTCTCAGAAATGTACAAACTCAAACAGTGTTTCCGCTCCTCTTCCAACATCACTCCTGCAAAACAGTATCAGTATCAATATTCTCCGTCGGAGGGCGTGCAATCTGAGCCGCTCCCCGGGAGTTTATGAATGTCAGATGAGCGAAAGGCGTAAACCAGGGAAATCGGAGCTGGAGTTTCCCGGTCTGCATTACCTCAGTGGATCGTTCCTTCATGTGTTCGACGTCTCTTTCCAACAATTGACATCGTTTCTGTGAACTTACGAGCTGCTCGTGCGTTTCTTGTAATCTTTTCTCCAGCTCTTCGCAATACTGCTGCAAATCCTGCCGGAGAAAAGAAACCAAGTAAATTGATACTCGCATGTGCGATTGAGCCCGCGGACGCTATAACAGGATTAATTTGGCGAACCCACGAGCCAATCATCAGGACCATTTGAAATGACTTCACAGCGTCGGAAGATGTTTCTCGTAAACAAAATAGATGCCTGGTTCTCGAGAAGATAAAGTCTTCACCCGTACGGGAATAGCGTCGTATTCGAAGGTTGAAAAATATCCGCACACGGTATTCGACCGGTGCCTCCTTGATAATTCAGAATATCGTTTTGAATCGATTCCGAATTGACCCTTGAGGAGCCATAAAGAATTTTCACGACTGCATCGATCGAAATCTCCGTCGAAATATTCCACTGATTATTTTCGTGCCCGCAAACTCCCACTGGTTAACGGCGCAGCGCAGTCTTCATTGCCATCTGCGTACGAGTGAAATCCATCGGAGGACGGATTCTGTCGAACATAAGGATCTAATTGCGATCCTCGAGCATGAGACGTCCTTCAGAACGATGTCGAGCCGCCTTGCACGACTGACCTTTGCTTAATGAGCATCGATGACGAACCAATCGTTTAGATCATTCGCAGTTTTCTCACCCGGATCGAGGGGCGCTTCGGAAAAAAAGGGTTCGTCACGACCGGGAAGGGTCCCAGCACACATTCAGTGAGAATGCGAATTAGTGGCCCGCGCGGTGATTCATTTGATTACTGGCTATTTCAGGGTGAATTCGGGGGCATCGCTTATGGGTATTCCGGGCACCAGTGTTTTCTCGTGAAAGGGTTCAAGAAATAACTCACCAGCATCCTTCCAGAATGCCTTTTCAATATTTTGTGGCATTCGTCATTCTCCCGCTGTGCCTGATCGATGAGGACGCAGAGTTCACGCATTTCGGAATTCATTTGCCTTCGTAGCGAGGTAGTTTCGGCCTTGACTTTGGCTTCGTTCTCCTGAAATCTGCCCGTGAGGCTCTCCAATTCTAGACGAAGCTCCTGACTGTAAATTAAGGAAGGCCTTCCGGCAACCGCCTCAAAAAATATCACTGCAAAAATCATGGAATCCGCTGCCGTGGTTCTTCGACACGGTCAAGCTCAAGAAACGCTCCACAACGCCGACTCATGCGATTCGCGTCCCGAGGGCATTTCCGCGACGTCGCATTCAGCGTGGCTTGTCGATTTCGCAAGTTTAACGTCCATAAACGCACCACTTCTTGATGTTATAATCCTCGGTGTCGTCTCTCTTCGATGATTTCAGTGACGCCGCATCTTCATCAATAAAAATATCTGTAAGTCGGTTTACGGAGTACTTTAAAATCGAGTATTCAGATGAGGGTAACATAGAAGAGAATTATCAAGGACGCCTTTTCCGTAAGCCCACGACGCAATTAGTCTCGAGAAACACAACGTTTCCTCATGTGTCAGTCGACGGCGTTTCTGTCTGACCGAATCGTATGTTGGTATCAAAGCGAGTTTTTTATGCGTGGAGATACGTTTGATCTGTTTGCAACTCAATGATTGATCTCGCGGCAGCAAGAGAACATAACCTCCGGCGAAAAAACAGAAAGCCGCGAGCGGCTGGCCGCTCCGGAAACCAACACCGCCATTTGAGCCGCTGATTCCGGCGACGGTTGCTCGTCAACCGAAACGCCGAGGGTCCCTTCGAACTTCACCAACCTGACAGTCGGTATTGAGAAACACTCTGAAGCATGAGGTTTCGGAGGGAGGGGCTCTCGCACAGAAAATGCTCTTTTCAAATATAATGATGACTGTCAAATTATCATTATAATTCGAGTGAACATGCTTTTTCAGCAACTTGCCACAGACTTTATTGCTGCATACTTTCCGCGGGTTAAAAATAGTTCGATTCTGTTTAACGTTGACCGATCGCTGCTTTCGGGCAGTTTGAGGTGCACTCATCGCTTTGAGCCGAAGGGAAACGACGCTCGAACAACAATACAGTCCGCAAATCTCCAACGACGATTGTTCGACGCGGCTTCTCGCCAATAAGAGCGGAACCCCCGATTCCGCGAAGCGAAAGTGCTCCCAGCAGAAGATCATTCAATAATCGCTCGTATCACTCGTTGCTTTCGCTCACAGAAGAAAGATATTTGCCCTTCTTCTTATTACCGGGCGAACACTCGGTAGCCGCCACGAGGTCCAATGAAAATTGAATCCAGATAACGGAAATTCTGGTACAGCTGACAGGGGAAATTTCGTTGAGCTCGCCTGAACGCTGTACCTTTGTCGACCTGCAAGCGGGACTCGCGGATATCCCAAGTTGACTTCGAGTTCAGATGGCGGTATTCCTTCTCGAAGGTCGAAGATTCGACATACATCGACTGAGGTCGTTCTCTGCCGCTCCGGGACGGCGCGCGCTCACCTGGATTCGTAATCGATGTCGTAAGCTGATTTGATTTCTCAGACGAGGGGCGATTCACTACGTTCAGGGGAGGAAGAAAGCCAGGAGGAGAAGGTGAGGGTGTTTGTCCTCTCGAGGGAGCGTGCTTCGACTCCCCAGAATGGAACGCTTCCGAATGACGGGAGAGGAGGGCTTCTTGACAAAAAAGCTGCATAAACCAATAAGGAGAAGTCAGATCGGAAGCTTCACCGCAGCGCTTGCCTAGGTCAATCTGAAGAGAACATAGTGGGTTGTTCCATCAGCGCTCCTTCCAGAATTGTTTACATGAGGAAACCCTTCGGCTTCGCAAAAAAAAAGACTGAGAGCACAGGAAGCTCAGCCAGCCGGCTGAGATCGATCGCTAAGCGACAGAGGAAGGTTCGTCACGGGGCAAGCAATTAGCTGCAATTCGAATGACCAAGAATTCTAGCGAGAGTTCACCTTCTTGGGTTGCCGTCGCTCCCCGTCTGTAAGCGGTTTGAGTAGTGTTCTCTATCATGGTCCAGGATTCTACCTGTCAGAGTGTGGTCGTGGGTAAACATAAACGGGGTCCCATCGGTTCTCTGTGATGGCTCTGTTGTTAGTCAAGGCAGAATTTCTGCACAACACTCTATTGAACAAGAGGCCGGGCTCCCTTGGCTTTCCAACCAAAAATAGTTTGAGCTCTGCTCTGACCATTACTGCACCTGTCTATGAGACGATGGCGGCTTCTCTAATGGGAGTGAAGTTCGACAAGTTTCGGAGAGACGGCTCTTGCTCTGATACTATATGGATCGCCGGTCTAATAAATCTCTTGCTCGAAGGGTGCGCGGGATAGAACTACGGCGATTTCGGATCATCCCGACCAGTTGGAATATTTCAGATTCATACTTTGTTGCTACAGATCCAGCTTTTTGCTTACGCGGAGTACGAATGATTTTCGTCGTCTTAGAGAGGTTTTCTTGGAGTCTTCCCATATCAGCGATACCCTTCCCGTAAGTGAATGGGTACCGTTTGACACATCTATCGTTAGCCAGTCATTTAGCATCCGACGTGGTTTTGAGCTCGGACTTACCTGCAGAGGCGGGGCCAGCGGACCCAATCGAGGACGTGTGGTAGATAGTTTGTGACATGAGATCGGGTCGATCCGAACGGAAATGTGTGCTGCGAATCGACGAACGATACCTTTTCTCGATGTCGTCTATAGCTCCAGAGTATAGCGATGCGCCATACTTGTGATTGTCATTGTAGATGTGGGTCAGAGGACGACGCCAATTGCTCATCTTGCCGCGCTTGAATTATTCAAACTTTGAGTGGTACAGCTTTCTTTCCCCAATTCGCTCACATCACGATCCGTTCCATGCACCCTGACTCAATTTCAGGAAATCACCCTCCAAGAATCAGCGATCCACGCTGTTCACTCATGCTCACTTCGGGGATAACCGACTTTTCGTGTATCCACTTTGAGAAACGTACCAGGAGAATCACTCGAATTCGAAGGGGTCTGAAGCGGTCTGCGGCTGCCGACTACTGAAAGGGTCCAGTGGTCGCGAGACTCTGAACTCGATGCAGGTCTTCCTCGACTCGGAGGGAAAGGGGAAAACTGCGCTCGATGGGAAAAGAAGACCGCGGTCATTATCGGCAGCCAACTACCTGTGGAAACATTTGTCATGCTGCTTATATTTCTTGTCAAGTCCTGTCTCCGTGCTTCGCAACGTCATCGAAGCCGGCGATTTTTCCCCGACGCCGAACATGATTTTGCCTGTTCAGGCCCGTACAGAATATCCTGCGACAAGGGCCTGGCCCAGCGCTCCGTTCCAAGTCTTCGACAGGGGAACGCCTATAAGAAATCAGAATATTGCGTCATGAAATGCACCAATCCTAAAATGGAAGTTCTTTCAGTTGCTCGAATTCTCCAAAGAGCAAGGTGTTGTCGAATTATTTTTTGGAATGGGTCTCAGCGCAGATCCAGCGCCATCAGAGAGGGTCTTGTGCTGATTCGAGCCCGCGGTAATGTTAATGGTTCTTTGGGCTGTGGTCCTGCCGACACAAAGACTTTCTTTCTAATATTGTGTCTTCATCTGATATAGCGCCTGCTTGCCTCCCTACCGGAATCGAGCAGGAACCAGAGCTACCATGGAAAGGAAAGCAGATTCATGCACAGTGGTGGGAAATCTCCGCCACTGCTGCCGAGACTCAAGGGGAGCAGGGAGAGTTCACGAGTCTAGGTGACAGACGGTAAAGCACGGAAGAACCATATTCCGAACTTTCATCTTCTTTTTTTTATCGCTTACTCCCAATTTCGAGGAATATTCGTCCTTCATCCCGGGAGTATAACGCGAAGTCGCTTCGTCTGACGTCATCGATCTTGTTGCGGCGTAGAAGTGCGCGGACCCGTCGATTTGGCTTGCTGCAAGCCATACCTGAAACAAGCGGTTCGTTCCTCGATCACAATCGTGGTACGCGGAAGAATTCCCGCTTGGCACCGAGCAGATCTGACTTCGTGGCTTGCATCGTCGTACAGCACATCCTCTTGTCTCAAGAACTCTAAAGAAGCGAATGCGATGCTTGTCCACATATTCTTCTTTATCGCATTTAGAATATGGAGAAGAATTCTGCGAAGAAGAGACTCCACGGAGCAGCTCGAAAATGACTGAGGATCAAAAACTAGGAGATGTCGAGCTCGTTGATCTTCTTCCCCCGTGCACCTACAACTCATCACCCATAAAGGGTTCGAATATCCTGGAAGGCAGGGTTCATCTACGCCAGACAAGTCTTTTGCTCAAATGAATTGAGCGTAAACATTGGGTCTTTCTTCGAGACGATCGGCAACGTGGGTTGTGTGTGAGCGTCTTCAAGATCAGGAATCGAGAATTTCAGAGCGACATCGCATCGCCTACTCAATCTCGGAGCGATGTCGTATTGTCGGAGCTGACCATAATAAATGGAGCGCCTTCGAATGCCTTGGAGGGATTTCTTTCCATATTCAGCTCAATTATTCGATAGACTCATTTTTAGCTCCTTAATTCGAATTCGAGTGATCACCCCTCCAAAGCAAGGGATTCAGCTCTGATGAGAAGGATATAGTATTCGTGTGTTCCGGAATCCCGCAGGTTGTCGGATGTGGCTTTGAAACGAGCAGCGAACAAGCATCTATCCTGGCTTCCACCTCCGACTGCGATTGACGGCTCGCTCCGGTTTTCCTAATTCGGTGCGTAATTCATGATCGGAGTCGGGTCGTGTTCACCTCTCGACACCTACGACGGCAGTCAATGTAGATCACCCGTTTTGCGATTCGACGGAGCGGGCTCTAGATTCCCCAACATCGTTCGCATGGAGAAGCAGCGTTTCGCATTCGATTAGCGACGCAAGTATTGTGGGCAAATTCGGGACTTTTCATCGGCTCAGCGCTTCCGTTCGAAGAGCCCATCGTCGGTCATTTAGCGTCAAAGCATGTCTTACTGTCTGCACCTGCAGACAGATTCAAGGGCTGGTGACAGCGAGCGACAGTTCGGCGAATAGAGAATTCTTCCTCGCGTTCGTTCTTTCCTTCTTCAAGTGTTCGTCTTCTACTCTGATCAAGTCTGTCTCAATCTGGAAGCTGGGGACGAGAGTGCACCGCTCAGCAGATCCCGAGATGGGAAGCGGCAAGCCATGATGGCTTGTGACCGGGCCAAGCACCGTTTCACGGATGGTGTCTACTGAAAAGAAAAGGCCAGAGCCTTCCGAGCGGGTTATCGTCTGCACTCAACGACGGCTATCGAGGGCCGTGGGCCCCGATAATTTGCCTATCCCGTGGTCTCCACAGACATCCGATTCGATGCGGTCGCGCTTGAATTTTACAATCGACAGGAATTCGTACACGATGCTTGCAGCACAACGCAAGTATCACTCCGCCAAAGCTTTTGGCTTGCGTGGATTGGGGAACCTGATCGGAAACTAGCATTTCAGAGAGAGTCGCCGTTTTACTCGGAGGGGGCTTGTCCGAGTTCGATTCGAAGTCTAGGGGGTCTGGAAGATACCGTGGAGCCTCGACCGTGTCGAGGGGGGTTTCGCGGGGAAAAATCGTCTCGCCGAGCCCTTCCTGAGCCCTCGAGGTCCTCGAATTCCGGAATCCCTCACGGGTGAAGCCACGCGACGCGTGCTGGGGGCATCGATCAGTCTTGCGTGCGCGAAGAACGAATCGTCTCCTTCAGGAATAATCACTTTCATTCGGGTACTTTCGGTGAGGCATCCTCATGCGAGACACCTCCAGCCTCCAATGACCTGGAAGCAAGCGCGAGACCGTTTTTCTCTCTACTCTCAATCGACCCCGCTCTGCTCACGGGGACTCCCCGATCGGTCTTTCGGTTGAACTCGAGCTAGCTAGATACATCCTTCGACTCGAGTTGATCCTCGCGGATTCATGCTCTAGGTAGCCGGAAGATATACGAGCCGTGATGTGTTCCGAACGGAAAGCATCCATTGCCCATCGGTCTAAATAAGCTCCGATCGGCTCCCTGAGTCGAGGGAGAATGGACTATTACCCTGACACCGCCGCTACCGGCGCATCGAGGAGAACCTGAGGCATTTTTGGCAATTGGTGTCGAATTCGAATCCTGATCCTTGCTGAGGCTTCGTCTGTCTGTTTTGCTCCCCAGCTTCATGGACGGGCTGTGGAAGGTCTTACCTTGTTTCCAGTGTTTATCGGGAGCCCAGGCGGGGAAATCATTGAGGCGACGCACAGTGGGGCCAAATCGGATTTTAGGTGGACAAAAGTGTTCCATGTAATTCTGCAGCCTTCTGAGGTTTTAGGAGTCTGAAATGGAGCAGAGGAAGACTGCTGAGAGCATTTCCAACACCACAGGAAGCGGGATTAGCTCACGATATGAGAAAAAAAACATGATACGGATATGATCAATCGGGGACGGTGTTCACTTCTTGTTCTAATTGGATTCCTTCAGCTCCGTGAGACTCATTCATCGACAGCAGAATAATCGCTCGAGCCTGCGGAAGACTTCATGAGAATGGTCTTTGCGTTCGCCGCGGAACGGGAACTGATGTCTGGTTGTGGAGCTCCCTCTCGTAAGGCACGTATACTGGGATAAGGTCCCATACAGTCGATTGCATTTTCGTCTTTGAGAACGAATTTTCTCCATCGTTTCTCGTCAGAATCCGCACCTTGCGTTTGTGGGAGCCGAACGGTCCCGAGAGTCCCCTGATCCTGCGTGCTGGTGGCAACGAGCTCTACGCGTCCGTATCGTGTGCGTCCATTTGGTATTGACAGGCAGGCCGTGAGCACACTGATCGACCGACAAAGCGATCGCTGCACCGGAGTCCGCCAGATCTCTCGCAGAGAGTGAGTGTGTGTGATCCCCCTTATGAGCAGTGAGCGATCCTGGCAGTGAGAGGGCGTCGAATCCGGAACTGCGGTTGCTGCCACACCTGCCGTGCGAACTTCGGCGACCAGCGCGATTCTGAACCAACGATAACGCAATCAACGTCTCCTCGCGGCAATCAGACGCAGACAACCATCATGCATATAAACAGGAGTTCGCTGAATATATTGCCCATGATGTTCGCAATATACCGACGGCAACGGCGGAGTGGTTAGCGCGTTTTACACTACTCGTGTAAACGTGCTCAGCCGCAACGATGCCGCTCGTGCGAGAGACGGTGTGGGTTCGATCCCTGCTGCCGAAAAAATATGCAGGTACTCGGCCTTGATCCTCCTGGGTATATTTGCTCTATGGATCCGTCCTCGGAAGCAATGTGAATAAGAGTACCCGGGACGTCAATCCTTGGCTGTGTGGTTCAGCCCGAAAAAGTTGATATTCGCAATAGGCGTTGGTCAAAGTGCCCCATCATACCCCTAGTGAGGCTGCCTCACTGGCTCGCGCGAGTCCGTTATATCGGAACCAGAGTTCTGGAGCGCGGCCTTGGGCCGCGCTCGTCGCTTTTGCCTACGCTGCTGAAGAGATACTTGATACTCGAAGTATTAGAATCGTCGTCGCAGGTCGCAGGCGATTGATGGAGCTCTCATTCTCATTCATGAAAGGTATGTAACGCTGAATCAGGAAGGGGAATATTTGACCGAGTGCGTTTCGTTACCGGGAGAAAATCGGGAGTTTTCTCGCGGGAATCCGAACACAAAACCGGCGGGTTGGAAATGCGAGAAAGAAACCGAGAAATGAAATCGATAAACCGACAAATGAACGAAGAGTTTGGCAAGCGCAAATAATAGTCAACGATTTCTTCGAGGTCGTCTTCCACAGCTGGGTAGGCAGCGTTCCGGTATTCGTAGAACTCTAAATCAGAGCCGCCGTGAACGTTGTCGCGGACAGGGAGTATAAGAGCACAGTAAATTTCTTAGTTCCAAGTCTTGTAGAAATGTTCGATGTAAAATCCTGTAGTCGGCCACATGAAGGTAGCTTTCGCATGCAAAGTGTCGGTGGTCTTGCAGGGATAGGTTGTCGATGAGGAAATGTGGTAGATCATCTTGGACTAATTTAAGTCCGAAACAGAGCTCCGCATCTGGACAATCACGGCGCGTTTGACGAAGGTAACGGCTCTAACTTTTTTGGGGCAATGCGCTTTCGGGACAGATCCCGTTCGGGCCACTGGGTTTTCGGGCCATTGAGATTTCGGGCCAATGAGTTTTCGGGACAACGGGCTCTGACCGGGACAGTGGGCTCTGACCGTGACCGTGGTGAGTGGTGAGATCGGGAGCGAATCAAAGAAAACTTAACGTCGTTGTTAGAACAGCGTGAATATGTATTGCGCATAGAGTTTTTTTTGAAGGGAACCCATGAGCAGCAGGCTTGGAATGCTTATATTCCTCTAAGACCTTGCTTCTCCTATAGAAGGAAGGCTGCAATCCTAGTCACTCTCGAGTATTTGCTGTTCATCGTTTCTGACGACGAAGCGTGAGCAAGAACTGATGATGGCGAACGAATCTCCTCCCGGGGTTGACACGTTCGAGCTCGATTGTGAACTCCGGCACACTGTATTGCGATTCTGGGGTAAAAACGGCATACGGCTCGGAGCAGCTCAGCTCCGTGAAGTGGTGCCAGGGATGCGGAAAATGCGGTCATCTTGGTTCCCTCGAGACTTCCGGAGTCTTACGAACATTTTCAAACCCATCACCACCTATCACCATCAAAATCCCGGAATGAATTTCCATGGACTTTTATTCGCCTAAAATTCGATTAGGCCCCTCTTTGGGACCCTGCTCAAGGATGTAGTCTGCCTTTCATCCGATAGAAACAGGGATGCGTCGATATGCAGAAGCCTTCAGGGAGCCCCTCGACGCCGAATCACTTCGAGATGTTTCGAGCTGAAAGACTGGGGTCAAAGAGGTTTCACTGATTTTGCTCCAGCTGACGATTTAACACACATCACGTGCCCGGGTATCGACCTATATTTTCCATGCGGAAATCGCTCGGCTTCGGAGATCAGCATACAGAAATCCCGAATGCCGGCAGTCCCCCTTAATGTTGGGATCATTTATCCGGAAGACTCCTAATTCGGTATCTCTCCGAGCTATTCCGCCGACACTTTCTGTGGTGACACTCATTTATGAGCTTATCCATCCCTTCGCCCTCGTCGAAACCGTAATAATGGAATCGTATCGCGCAGCGGCGTGCCCAGGGGGGAGCCGAGGGGCCATGGCCCCCCTCAAGATCTCTTTCTGGCCCATGGACTTCCATGTTGAGGCTCATCATCATCGGTAGTTTGCCCCTACCAAGACTATGACCCTGCCCCCCCCTCCCGAAAAAAAATCCTGGGCACGCGCCTGCTATCGCGGCTACCCTAGCATCGGCGGGAGAGGGGCTCGCATTTTCTCTCTAGAATATAGAATTCCGAGTCAAAGCTCAATTTAGGAAAACAACCTCTCCGGACTGTCTCGTCTTCTACCTCGAAGGTTTCGTTCTCTTCATTACTCAGGGGTCAAAAATTAGTTCTCGAACAATCGTTGCCCGTGGGGTTACTGTCGGCGTTATCATTATGGCTGGCAGCGTTTTAGGTTGGTATTTTAGCATGTGAGTGGAGATCTCGGATTCACGCTGGTTATTCAGCCGAGGCCCACGGGATGCCCCGACGAGCGAAGTTTCCTATTAAGCAGGAGTAGAACACCGAGAGCAGCGGCACAGTCGAAGATAGACTCTGGTGCGTTGGACGCTTTCTCTAGGATGATTTATGTATCTCACGAAGCGGACCATAGAATCGCAGATTCGAAATTAATTCTGGTTGACTTCCAAAGAGATGACGCTACCAAGATTGCGAAAGTCTTGGCTAGAATTCGATGTATAATTACTGTAAATTCCCCACGTCGCGTCGTGATATCGATTCGTGTCATCGACGATGACACGAGTCGATCGTATATGGTTGAGAACGCCTCTGCCTGTCTGATTATGAATTGATGCGGCCGAGAGAAAGTCAGCGCAGGAAGCACATTCCCATCGAAAGCACTGAGATGACAGGATTATAGACCTATGAGATCAAAGTCGCCGGATCTATCAGGAGTGCGTTCTTCGTATTCGGAGTGCCCCCGAGGCTGAGGTCGGGAAGAGTGCTCCTCAGATAATCGCGCGGTCCCGGCAACCCTGTGAAGAAAGAATAAAATTCTCGATAGGCTCTCTCACAATGAGAAACTCTGGCACGTTCGGGGAGGGGCGAGTGAATTTTCATCTTGTCCCGTTTTATCGTCTTGTCGGGCAACCTAGCGAGCGCGTACTGGGATTGGGGTTGTTTTTCTCCGAACGGCGAAAACAAGAAGCCCGCATCCCCTACCTACAAAGCCACGGGTCCGGATCACGAGCCGATGAACCCGCTCCCGCGGAGACCGTTGCAGGAGCACGACGATTTTCTCGTGTTTGTCCGATAACCCGTACTGGTCGTCCTTGGTGTCTCTCTGGTCAGTCATCTCGTGGAAGTTTATTTTGGTCGACTCGGATCTATTTGGAATGATATCTCGATGTTTCGACGCATCGAGCTGGGCGCGAAAGCCACGCCCACCGCCATCGAAAGGCAAATACGACTAATGTATCTCGGTGCTCATCAGAAAGATATGAGACGGGTCACCGCACGCTTGCTCTGCTACTATACATGGCTCTCATGCGATCGATTTTTCGGACCGTGTTCAAAAATCGACGGACTCGCCCCTTCCATTGCTTGCATAGAGAACAGATTAAAGTGTTATCGCTGGAGCCTCCCTAATCTTCCCTGCCCATTGTAAGGACAGCATGGAATTGAATTCCCCAGATCACGGGGGAAGGGTTGGCAGTACAGGCATGTCTTGGGAAATGTATAGAATGCTCAAATCAATCCCAAGGCTCAGGAGCGGAATACGATCAAGTACGTTCAGGTATACCGCTTTCAAAATTGGCTCTGAGGAACATTTGAGTGATTCCATCGGTCCCATTATTGCACGGATCGGATGTATTCCGGACCCTTCCGACCTCAGGGCAGTATGGCCGGTTCCTGCTTCGACCTCCGCAAATGTAGGCCGGAAACTCGGCCTTCAGTGAAATTTCAGCATGCGAGATACCAGAGCAGTGAATAAGCAGGGTACCATTGAGAGATGAGTGAATGTATGACGGAATGTTCCACGGAGCAAATTGGATAATTTCTGCTTGGACGGAGTCTCGGTACTCATTTTTTCATTAGATGGTCATTCAAATGCACTCACGGGATTGCCAAAGTTGACCCAATCCAGATTCTCAGTGAAATTCAATCAATCCGTATCTGGGAGCGTCATACAGTTTGATGTGGAGTAAGAGCGGGGAGTTGCGCTGGATATGCAGAATGATCTCGGAGGTATCGCGTGCCCGATGGGGACTAGAGCCATCGGGAATTCCTTCTCCACAAGGCTCCAGACTGCCCCACATAATTTGAGCTACATATTCTTGATCCAGAAAGTGATGTTTCGACATATCGGCTCGTCTCTCATTAAATGTTCTGAATTGTTCGTGTCCCACCTTCTCCTCCGAATGAGCATAACTTCTCCGGAGCACTCGATCGATTCCCCAGCAAGACTTGAATTATGTCCCCCGGCGATCCGAGTCTAGAGGTGGGGAGAGGGAGTAGCGTTCTCGAGACTCAGAGACAGCGGGGCTCGACGGGTCAATCCAATTGACGTCCGACGTTCACGCGGGGCCCTCATTCATTCCAACAACGTCATCATTGATCGAAGCGAATTGTACGGAAAGCACTCCGTGCCTCAAAGCTCAGATCTGCGATTTCCAAGCGGGATAGTGATTTCAGGAGGCTTCCAAGACTTCCTTATTTTTTCTCGCTCCGATGCGAGTCTTCTCTTTCCCGGCGGTTCGGCAGAACAAGCCGATTCTATTCTCTTTTCGGAATTTTCTAAAGAGGATGGAAACCAAATAATACATCAGTGTCGCAGACCACGATACTATGAATCTGGCAACAAAAGCCATTCTTCTCAGCCTAACCCCGCTACGGAGTTGGCCGATCGTTCTCTTTCGTCTGGCACGAGCCTGAGATCGTTCACCCAACGCGCTGTCCGCCTCAAGATTACCAAGAATTGGCCGAGCGAGAATTTGAGAACAGTTGTGTGCGAGTGCAAGCGGTATGGGGGCGGTTAGAAACTCAGTCTTGAGCGGAGCACTTATTCTTCGAGAAAACTTCCTGATGAGTCGTCGAAAGCAAGCCTTCGACGTCGATACATTCCTTCTCAACGGTCTTGTCAATTATTTGGAATGTGCTGTCTCAAATTCGTCACTGATTCTGAGGTATTGAGCGAATACTGTTTCCGAAGGTCGCTTGACCACTTGGGAAAACCGTCGACTCAGTCATTTGTTCGTTTGTCCATTTGTTTGCCCGTCGCTTGGCGCATCGGTACCGCGAGGATCAGTCTCGATCATTGCCACGATGCCGACAAGGAACGGGCCAACAGAATCGCAATTTTTGGAGGAGGAGTGGGCGCGCGAGAATCGACGACGACATGAAGATTGAGACACTATCACTCTCTCCGGTCCCCACTTAGTCATTGGGCCGAGCACCCAGTCTCTCAGTAAGAAAGCAACTAGCAGGGCAATGAACAGAATGGACCCCAGAAATTTTCGGTGGACGCGCGAACGGACGTACGATTGACGCTGGCTCGCACATTTCCAGAGAGGTCCCCCAAGGCCGTATGACGGCGGCGGCTGGCGAACTCGTTGGTGGCGGACGCGAGCAAAAAACTCTCGAAAGTGGCGTCCGAAAATGGGCGGAGATCCTCGAATAAAAAGCCTGCCTCGACGAAGTCCGATCACAGTTCTCAACTGAATCCCGAACTCGACACTACAACAATGAAGGCCGTTGTGAGTAGCCCACAGCGATTCATTGGAGCTTCTGGATGTCCTCCACGGACGTCGGCGTGAGTTCGGAGCGCGTTTTTTCTCACTTACACTGTTTGCTTCCAGCTTGCTCTCGTTGCCCTCGTGGCTTGCGTCGCCGCCGCTTCTGCTGGTGCCGTGTACGCGGGATACGCTGCTCCCGCTGTCGGATACGGATACGGATCGTACGCTGCCCCCGCTATCGGATACGGCTACGGATCTTACGCTGCTCCCGCTCTCGGTGACGGATACGCCGCTCCCGCTTACGGTTACGGCGGTCTTTACGGTGGACTCTACGGTGGATACCTCCGCAAGTAGATAATACAATGAGGGATCGTGTACATTGTGATGCAATAAAATGTTTAGCGTCTTAAGGACACTATATCTCGCGCACTCTTTCGGAACTTTAGTCAAATCGAAGATCGTTTCTCGGCCCGCATTCGTTCCTCGCGTTTCGTGACAATACGCCGTAAAATGTTTCTCGTCTTTATTGCGAAATATCAGAGCATTCCTGCGAGAAAGGCTGATTCTCAGGGCATGCTCAATTTGGGCCACCATTCCGGGCAGCTGACTTCGACTTCTACATTTTCACCGTTCACTTCGATTGAGAGATCACCAGCTTCCAACGATTCCCTGATCCGCATGAGTCCGAGACCGCGTGTGCCCATGACGGCTTTTAGAACTCCTACCTGAGGAACGAAATTCGTGAATCACAAAGAGAAAATTTGGAAATAATTGAATACCTAATCCAAAAAGCATCGACATAGGCATGGAGGGAAATCCGCCGCACGACTTTAACCCACTATTCAGCTCACCTTCGCTCCGTTCTGACTCAAGACTGATAGCTCCTCGGCGTCACACGATATTTTTTGAGGTTTCGGGAACGAGATTGGCATGTATCGTTTCCGAATGACGCCTGGAACAGAGGTCTTATTGAGTTGCTCGAATGGAGTCCTTCGGGAAGCGGAAAATTTCCAATCAGATAACGCATCGCGGGGCTGCATCCCTCGGACTTGCGATCACTGTAAGCGAGTCCCCGTCCAGACTCAGTTGGACAAATGTCATCGAAGATGTGAAAGCCCCCTCAGCATCGTAATAGCCGGAACCTAACCTGTATGATGAGCCCTTGCCGTCAGCTCTTGACCGATATAACAACCCTTGTCGAAAGAGATCGCATTCAAGTAATCTCCGTTGCTCTCCAGAGGAATCGCTTTCCCAGTACCGAGCTCACTTGGCCCTTCTGGAACCCCCAATCGGTAACGCAGTTCTCGGTACAGGTCCATCCGAGAATCCGGCTCCCCAGTTCCTATCATGTCTGCTGGAAGATTCCATATTGGGGTATATTCGGTATACACGATGACCACGCTGAGGTCTCGGCCAAGAGATATGTCATTCATTGGAGGCAGGGAATCTTTAAAGGTACCTCGTATCGATTTGACGCCGAGCTGTGGAAGTCTTGGGTCGGGTCCGTCGATAATCCCGCTATCGAGGGGACCGAACGACGCGCAAGCAGTATACGGAGCTGTCTCAATAGAAACCGAGCGACGCATCTTGTAGAGATTCAGAACCTGGGAAAGAATCTTGTTCATGGAAGGTTCATCTTGTCGATCCATCGATATGTATGGTTCGCGATATCGAAATTCAGGACGAGTACCACGAGACTACCACTGCTCTCGTTCCGACACCTCACCTTCAAAAGAGAGCTTTCCAAGGTGGCATCGGTCTCAAGTAGGACGTCTGATTCGCCAAGTTTGTAGAGAAACAGGTCAAAGAGCACGCGCCCCTGACTATTCAGGAGATAGGAATAGACCACCTGAAAAGTCTCGGCTCGTCGGAACTGGGGTCTTCGAATTCATCAAGAATCCAGTTTAGAACTTGAATGGAAATTTTAAAACTGACTTTGGCTTCAGAGTACACATCATTCGTGAGCACACCCTGGAGGAAGGGCAAGGTGTCCGAACCACGGAGGCGGAGCACTTTCTTTGCGAGGGGTACCAAGCCCTTGAGAGTCATCCTCGGGGAGTTTGGTGCAGATGCTTTTATTTCGAGATGATTCCGGCGGTCACATCAACCCGCCTCCCCAAGGAATCAGGGCCTGTTGCTTGAGAGCGTGAGGTAACTTTGCAGACAACACCATGAGTGAAACTCGGAACTTCTCAGAAACAGCTCAATCGAGAAACTAATCCCTCTCAGTGTCTCCCGGCGTTCTGGCGATCCTCAGCTGAGCGCTCTTCTCCGAGTCCTCGCTGGTTCGGGGAGAAGCTTCGATACTCTGACGCTAGCTGGCAGCAGATCAGGTGATGCACTGACATCAGCGAGAACTCAACTCGAGGAGCATCACAGAAACCTCGAATCAGAACTGCAAAAGAGAAGATTTTCGATTTCCGAGATCGGTCGGTCGCGAAAGGTGGAAAATTCGCACCGCGGTCCCCGGCCACCGAGACTTCTATGCGCGATCAGCGGGAGTGGGAACGATTCGAACACTGAGCCATCCACATGTGTGTCTGACCCGCGACTCGCGATGACTTATCCTTCCTCAGTGAATTTAAATCGAGTGCTCTATCGACTAATTGGACAGTGCAGAGTAGCCTGAGAGAATCCCAGCTGCAGCTTTTCCTCGACCGTCTTCGGCCGTCTCTGATATGAATTTGGACGCGGAAGAGAAAAATCGTGACTGCTTTCTCCAGGCATTCTCCAGCTCTCTGAGCCCGAGTTGAGGACAGTTTCCGGAGCAAATTACTCCCAGCGTCGATGTCAGTATTCACCCGACTTACTCTGGCTATCATCAAGCCGGACGCGTGTGCGTCTCCGCCCAGATTCGAACTAATCAGGCACCTTATGAAAGAGAATGGCTTCAGGATCGTGGCAGAGAAGTACAGGAGGTTCTCTCAGCAGGTATTATCCCTCATCCGAGTCATTCCCGGTGCTTGATAAGCATTCAGGTGGCGAGAGAACCTGCGGTACGATCAGGAAAAAAAATCTCTTCCAGGAAATGGAGAAGTTCTATGTCGAGCACGAGAACAAATTTTTCTTCCACCGCCTTACAACATACATGTCTATCGGACCAATTTTCGTTGGAATCCTTTCGAGGGACGGTCCAGCCAATACTTTAGCAAGTTGGAGAACGCTACTCGGGCCGAGTAAGGTATGCGAACCCACCGTGTCTCACCACGAATTTCTTCCTTAGAACTGCCATGACCAGTGCTCATTCCGTTGGCTCGAGTCGGTCTCGATTTCGAGTCTCTCACACCGTCAATCGTCTTTTCCGCAGGTCTTCCGAACGATATACGAAACGCCTGAGAGCATACGAGCGCAATGTGGGCTGACAGACACTCGGAACGCGGTGCATGGATCAGACTCAGTCATGAGCGTGGAACGAGAGGTGAAGTTCTTCTTTCCCGAGTTGCATGAAGGCGAGCTCGAAAAACTCCTGGAACAGCCATCTCCTGAGGGACCACAATCGACGTCTCCGGAGAGCTAGGGCTCAGAGCGAAAGCTGATGTATGCTGCCAGCTGCCACTTTCGGCTCCGCTGTAAACACCGAGCGCGTGGAAGTTCCGAAGAGATCATGCGTATCAATAAACCTACCTACGGCGCTCATCACTATAATAAAGAGAGTCATCCTTTAGGATTCCCGGCTGTCCGGCTGCTGTTGAGGAACTCCGCCAAAGGTTTCAATCGCGATTTCGCACCGAAGGGACAGATACAGAATATAATTGTATCTCGAGTTACTCCTCCCGTCCAGCGCATGAGGGGTTCGCAGGGATCGCACAGATGAAATTCGGGGAGTCCCCATGACGTCATGGATATTGATGGAGGAGAAATCGAGAACGGTGGCGACGACTATGCGACGTCCAGTTGGCAATCTTTCAGGAGTAGTCATGAGGTGCTACAAATGTCCATCGAGAGCGGCTGACGATGAAGACTTCAGCTCTCGTAGTGAGGGGGTCTTGCTAAGCTAGGTTAGGTGTCTACCCACCCAAGAAGAAGTGTCCCCATCTTCGGAACGCAGTCCGACTTGAAGAATGTTTTGGCTGACAATGCGACCGCCGTGTGCGACGCAAGCTCGGAGCATAGTTCGCTGTAGACACATTCATCGTGGCAGGATAAAATGCAGGGAGCAGCTCAGTGTCGAGAAGTGCATCAAAGCTCCATAATCAGATCAAGATTTCGAAGTAAGCCCTCTTATGGGGAGTATTCACACGAGCGATCCGGAGTGACGAGAGAAAAGCTCCACAGTCTACTCTTCGAAGATTATAAACAACATAAAAATGATAAATAAATTTCATCCGCTGCTTCACCATTGGATGAACCGGAATTTCGGGAGCACCAGAAACGGACCCGCATTCGTGAAACACTACTCGAATCCAAAACATTTGGTCGATTCTCGGTGCTTTTCGGGGCGGCGAGAACAGAAAAAAAGCAGAAGTATACAAAGGACACTATTCCGAAACAAAGATCGACAGTATGAAGATAAGTGAGAGTGTATATTTGTGAGCGATAATCGACATTACCGCTTCTGACGCCGCTGCTGCGGGCAGTGACGAGAACGGTCCGCTGCCACTCAGCCAGGCAGCCAGTCAGATAGACGAACGGACAAACAGATGCAACGTTGTCCAGAATTTGGTAGAAACGACGCCGGCCAACGGAGCCGGGGCGTTTTCAGAGAGTTTCTACAAGGCCATTGGGCGTCCGAGCTCGTGTATGACGAGAAGAAAGAGAAGAGAAGAACTCGCGCTTTCCTTTGGAATACAAGTTTGAGAATGCGAGGGGGCTTCCGAATATAAGGCCCGTCACTCCGATGATCGGTCACAGTTCTCAACTGCGAATCCAACCCACTACCACAAAATGAAGGCCGTCGTGAGTATCTTCGAACCTACACCGGAACGAGATCTCGCTCTGAGCTCGGAGACCGTTCACAGTTCTCTTTCCCTCGCTAACCTATGCGACATTTACAGCTTGCTCTCGTCGCCCTCGTGGCTTGCGTCGCTGTCGCTTCCGCCGGAGCCGTTTACGGTGGTGTCGGATACGCTGCCCCTGTTCTCGGATACGGATACGGATCCTACGCTGCCCCTGCTCTCGGTTACGGATACGCCGCTCCCGCCCTCGGATATGGTTACAGCTCGTACGCCGCTCCTGCTTACGGCCACGGACTCTACGGCGGTCTCTACGGTGGATACCTCCGCAAGTGAACGATCGGACCCGGACTTCTGTAAACTGTGGTGCAATAAAACATTTGGCGTCTTAGGACACTGAAAGCTTTCGGATGTCATTTCTAAGTTTGCTGGGCGGAAATTCAGTGAATTTTTCGACTCCACGCAGTGAAAAACGGGCAGCTTATCTTGGCGTTCCGCGGAAAATCGCGTTAGATTCCACCCCAACTATTTCTGGAACTTAGTGACTCGGGATTCAGACGGAGCGAGTTCTCTGCCAATTAAGGTGGTCTCGTGCTTCTGGTAATGCGGTCGGTCAATGATGCGACCCAGAGTCACTTGTTTTCTCCGGGCAGCGAACGAACCTCCTGCTCTAGACTTGTCCGCAGAAACGTTGGATCCACGGTTCCCGGGCCCGACGCGGAGGACTTCGCTGAAGCATATGCGAGGCAGACAGCGTCTATAATGAATCGAGATGATGACGAGATCTGTGTCCAGGATTCCCGCCTCATGAAAAATTCCTCCATCACCGTCTCCCTCCCGCAATACACAAGCTCGGTAAGCTTCAATCTTGGTCACCGTGTGCGACGGCACGCACCCGCAAACAAGATCATCTCTGACGCACGCTCCAACTCTGATCTGGCAGGCATAATTTCGCGATCAACCCCCATCCCGGTCTTGACCTGATTTTCTCGGACGCTCCAGAGTTTGCATCATTCGGGAACGGGAGTCCGGGAGTCATTCCCATGCTAAAGCCGCATTGTTGAAAACGCATAAGCCGCGGAGCCCACCCCGGGTATCCGGTTGCTCGTTGCTCGGTGACTGAAACATATCAGCATGGGATTATTCATCCCGGTCCCTTTTGCAATCTGTTCGAGAATTAGATTCCGTCATGAGGGGGAAATTTCTGGGTCGAGACGACCCAGATGTTGACGATGATTTCAGTCCGCCGTCAAAATGAACATGAACTGCTGTCGAAGTGGGTTTCTGTGTCGCTACCCGGCTCGGACTTATTTGGCATCGTATCCCCACTTCCAGCCTCGACGCATTGTGCGTGAGTGTATTCTCCATGAGCACTGTGCATCCTCCCGGAACCAATACTCGGTCGACGCACATAACTTCTGATTCTCTGCGCCGTTCTCGCTTCTTGCATGCTTTCAGAAAACACTCGTTTTCCGAGAGAGTCGGAGCCATCCTTCCCTCCCATTTCCCTCCGCGATTCCCTCGAGTACTCAGTTCCGCGTGCTCAGAATCGGTGGAGGCCGTCGATGAATACGAGTCTTATTGGATGCGGAAATCGGTTACATTGCCACTCCGTCGCTCGAGTCTCGAGGTAAAGAGCCCTCAGCGGGGCCCACTCAAGGAGCTCCCATTCTTCCCGACTCAATTATTTTGCATACGAATGCAGGACGTATACTAAGCCGGATTTCTGGGGATGAAGAGAAGATGTGGAGGGCGCTCTGCCTTCATTCAGCGTGGAACTTCGGTTCTTGAGTGTTCTTGGAAGTTGTCAGGAGACATATTGTCGATGGCATTCGTACTGATCAGGATAGCTAGGAGTCGATTCACTAGCTCTGTTGTCCTGGACACTCTCTCCGGACTCGGACAATGCTCCCGGCTGGAATACAAGAATGCCTCCTCAGGAACGGTTTATCATCATTGCCGATCCGATGTGAATAATCCCGGCTCGTCACGCGGAATGAAGAAAATCGATTGGAGAAAAACGGATGTTACGAATCGACGTGAATGGGGAACCGTTCGTAGGGAGGAACGACTGATCCCAGGGTTCGGGAATGGGACGCCATACTGCTCTCCGCTCATTTTCATCGCAGGGCTGCCGCACCAAACCTGATTGCGTTGAGCCGAAGACATTGAGGATGTCCAGAAATCACAGCCACTCAGGCTCGATGGCTGGCTTCTTATTCCTGTGGAATTCCTCGCCGAGCTGCATCAGATCAGCCCCCCCCCATAACCCCGCCGATCAGACGTCGCTGCGTGCGGCCCGAACGCTCTGTATTGGCTCCTCTGTATTGGCTCCCTCATGAATGTAGTCCCACGCATGAATGCCTTTCCTTCATTGCTGTATTGGGCTGACCAAGAATTTGATCGATTGGTATGATGGCACGGTGGAGATAGCATCGAGCGCTCGCTCTGTTGTGTTGGAAGCATCCCGCCAACTACCCGCAGCATAAATAACAGATTATTCCCCGGATACGACGGGAACTCGTCTTTCCCGGGGTTCTCTCAGGCGATACGGGAATTCTCGGGGACGATAATAATTCCAGTTGATCCATGGAGCCATCGAAAAGTGCGGGCCCTTAGAAATAGAAATACCGAGAGGTTCACGGAAATCTCGCCTGCCTGAATGAGTGAACGGAATCCTCACCCCTGAGTTCCTGAGAGGAAATCAGTTCCAAGTCGGAGAGGAACGTCGCAGGCTCCGACCCTGTGGGAGGATCCGTTCGGTTTCGTGTAGGTGATTTTGGAGGGGAGGCAGCATAGGCCTCGTCAGATCGCCCCGAGGAACAAACAGTGAGTCGAATCTCCCGGGGCTCCGCAAGCGGCGGGAGCATGGATTGAATTTCCAAAAAGTTCGCGCATGAGAGCTGCATTAGACAGATTTTTTTCCATCTGGCTCCACGTCTACTGCTGGCGGGCCCCAGTGTGATCGAAGTATTCCCTCAGAGATGTTCTCTATTTGCCTTCGCCGGGTATAAGGGAAGAAGTTATTCGTGTTTGCTCCAGGAGCTATTTGTCTCGCGTGCCATGGTCGGCAGGAATTGTGGCCCGTTCGGCAGAGATATGACAGACCACGAGGGGCAGACTGTTCCCGTTATTCGTCTATTGCCTCATTCAAGCCACTCTCCGTATGTGTATTCGTGCCGTCGGATCCGCTGAGCGCAAGAGCTTTGCTAGCTTTCCACCGAACGGTTGAGAACGCGAGCGGCAAACCAAACGGCTTTTCTTTTCAGAGAAAAGAAGAGCCCCTCTGTGCGGGACCCCACGAAGACGAGTCGCAGTAATCAGCGGACGTCATCACGAAGTTGGCTCCAGACCCGGTCGGTCATGTGGCTTTTACGCTTCCGTTTGCAGGCGACATTTCGAGGTCGTTCCGACAGAGGGTCGTCTGAGAGCAACCGACGGACCGTATTCAGGACAACATGAATTGTGGCCGCAGGCTTTTCACAACAAAAGAGAAAAGAAAAGTGTCGCTCGGTTGCTTTCTCTCTCCTCCGTTCCTGCTGGCTCGGAAGGGGCGAAGCCGTCAGAGGTACCACACTCACCTCCGGACTTGGATCTGGAAGAGACGCCTCCATTCTCCAATGGATCTCGCCTGGACCTTATGAAACTTCCATTCAGAGATCTATCTCTCCTAGATATCGCACGGACTCTCCAGCCCCTTCTATGGGAGGAGGGAGGACGGACGAGTGGTTAGACTCGTGGGCACGTCGCATGCAGACTCTCACCGAAGGTTCCCGTGCCTTCGAATGACTTTTTATCGTGCGGAAGGTTGCTGGTTGGACTCTGACAACCCTCGTGCTCCCCGGGTGAGGTTTCTGTCGTGCATCCTCGCGTGAAGTATCATTCTGAGTAAATACGACTTCCGGGATGGTCCCTCGCGCAAAGCTATAATACGCGGAGGTGATCCCTTCTCCTACTCCGACGCAGAATCCGAGTGATGCTCGGACCTGATTCATGTGGCGGTGGATACCTCCCCCTTCCTTGCCCTGAACAAATATCCATATCCTAATTCAGGCCTTCGGACGTCCGCGAGGCACGAGGAGACGATCGGCGACAACCGTTCACTTTGGAAGAACATGCATTCGTTTGATCCTGATCTTCCCTGAACCCTAAATCCATCACAAACAATCTGTATACGTCCCACCCAGGCATCCCTCGATCGATAATGGTATTTCCCCATGCGAGCATCGATCCACGTTTCGACTTATTCATAAACTCCTCAATTTCTCCGTCTATCCGCCTGAGACGAGGAGACGAACGACCCTTCTAGGGCATGGGAAGTAAGTCAGCAGGAGAAAGGCGAATGCACATTCGTAACCTCTAAACCCTTCGCATTGCACCATCCGGAATGTTCGGCCAATGAGAAAGAAGAACATTATACTTCGCTATTTCACAATCCTGAGGCTCGACTGAATTGGCCGTCCGACCTGCCTTCGGTTGTATGGAGGGGGGCAGAGAGGAAGAAGAGTCCTCTTCGAAGTCTGAGCGGGTACTCAAGGAGATCACGTTGTCTTCGTGTTTGTGGAATGCCCGAGAAGAAATAACAGTCTTATATAATACGAAAGAGTATAGGGAACGATGAGGATGGGGCAAAACAAACTCGTCGAGTGACAAGTTACTCCCCTTGCGGGGAGCGGAGGACTGTATTCGGAAGAAAATATGAGAAACGCGAACCTGCTGGCTCTTCTGACATGATGTGATGATGTACGATCTGGAGGACTTCGGTGCTCGAGTCGGCGAAAGGTGAACGAGCAATACAAAAAAAGTATTGTGATTAATCAAGAGCCGGCTTAACGAAGTGGAGGACAAGAGAATGAATCAATAAGCCGGGATATCACTCCGGGCAAAGTAAAAATAGATTTCACTCGAGGCGTCGATAGTCCCGACTGCCTTCCAAGAACTCGCTGGAAACCACCGCGAGGGATTGAATTCTCGCTCAGGATTCTTCGTCGGAACTCGAAACCAACAAGCACGGTAAGGGACTCCCCACTTTTTTGAGGAAGAACGAAAAATAATTTTATTCCGCTGTAGATCAGATCTTATTAACAGCAATTCATGTCGTTTTAGACTTGGGATCGGAGCTCGGAGTCAACAGAGAGGTTCGACGTGGAATTATCTAAGTAGTATGATATAGTTTCAATTTTCAGACTGAGATCAAAACTTCGAACAACAGCAGTGATTAACTCAGATCCTGCAGGGCAGGTGTTTGTTGTTCTCTTCAGTATAATACGAGAATCCTCTCTATTAAGATCATCAACGACTTCTCTCAGATGATCTATGGTCTAAGGCGTCCGGAAAAGACGCTCTCGATGAGTTTCATGATCGTCGTGTCGTTCTTATCGCCAGCAGAAACCCTGAGCGACTTGAAAGGGCTGGGAACCTATACCATCCAACCGGTACAGCGAATGATGCGGAACGACTTGCCCAGGGAGAGGTGACGAGATTTGCCGCGCGTCGGTGGCGGCGTTATCGTTCGGTGATCAGGCGATGGGCAGCTACTAACGAACGCGGTGTGTCCTTAGATGGGGGCTTTAATCGATTTCGTAGCTCGAGAGAAAAGTCCTCGAGCCTTCAAAGTGAGCCTCCTTGCGAAACGATGTGAGACAACCGTATCATTGATCGATTGCTGTCCCGCAACCTGATTCCACGATGACTAGATTGTTGATTCAAAAGGAAAACATTCCTTGGAACAATGATCACGTCAAACCAGAAGTTTCGGTCGCAATTCGAACTCTAGTCATCCTCATGGCGCATTGGAAATCGGTATCGAACATAGGTCTAACAAATTATCATCATGGAATGAGCCTTCTGGGCGCGTATCACGTAGTTAGAGTTGTTCACCCCACGTCTGAATCGTCATTGTCTCGCTGTCGTCAGAGTCGTCGTTGGAGAATATCACAGTTGAGTACCTGCTGCGCTGGATCTTCATTTTCCTCATTCTCGTCCCCCTCGAAATCCTTCTCTCTCAGCGCGGAGGGACATCCTGAGATTCTTTGATAAGGAATCCCTCGTTCGACACGGGCCATCCTCTAGTCATAAATCTGCGTGTATCCATTAGACGAGGTACACACGGCTTTGGTTCCGCGCCCTGAAGGCTGTCGTACGAGTTCATTCTCAAAGCGAGTCAAACTCAAAAGTTGTTGAAACAAGCTCTCTGGGATGAGAATATAGTTTTCGTCCACCTACTCTATCCTACAACTAATTTCGGGTTGGGGCATACAGAGTGAGTGACGGCTACGATCTTCCGGGCGAAAAGATTCGGGGAGTCTAGATCAGAAATTTGTAGAGCCGTTTACGACTATTTTTATGACAGTCCGCCACGTAGACCGCGAAGCCGTCCGGAGAGATCACGATGTCGTGGGGCATTTTAAACTCCTGCAAGGAAAGAAATTCCGTGATGTTGTGCATCGAAAAATCACTAAAGCCGAATGGTCTCTCGCGCAGCCTATGCATGGCGGAGTGGAGGCGATCGCGACGAGGTTACGACCGCTTTTCTGCTTCTCGCTGCTTCCTGAATGAATAGCTCTTCGTCGAGAAATCGAAATCCCGATATCGACGCGAGTAACATCCCCTCTACTTTCGTCGAACAGGTGGGAACTACGCGTAAAAGCGGTATGCGGCAGTAACAAAAGTATTCAAGTGTGCATTTTGTGCTCGGGCAAAGAGCTCTGTCGATAATGTGCTTTGTGTTTGGCAGCAGTAATCTTCGTTGCCCTTCCGTGACCTCGGCCCGGTCGGAGAAAAAAACGAAAGCGAACACTTCGGTGGCGGTAGGGCGAACCATCCGCAAACTCCATCCAACGCAGCAGCGTTCGATCCCTCTCATTTCAGTGAACGCGGGGAGGTGGGGCAAAGCGCAACGTAACTTCATCCTCGAATAGTCTTTCTTTCTGCAGGACGGGGTTATCCTATTGATGTTAAACAGCGAACACCGAAAGTTCTCTCACCTCCGACTGTGGCTCGAAAGCGACCACCTTCGCGTCCTGTCCCTCTTCTAATTCTCGTATGAATCCAGTTGGTGGCTGGTATAAATTCAAGTCGGGCAGCTGGAAGGGTGGTTGGTAGAGACGCACACCGAAGAGTACCGCTCCTGTGAAGAGATCCAATCATTTAGAGCGTGACGTGAGAGCCGAACAGCGGGTCGACCGCTCCATCCCTGACCCTGGGCTCATCTACCTATTCCCTAACTACCTCAACCCCCCGGGCTCGTTCGAGAACTTCCGATTGTTTCATTCAATTATTTTGTTCGACCATTCCTCGACGAGAGACCGAATGAAGCACCGAACGTGGAGAAGCGGGACGGAGCTCAACAGAAACGTGATACAGGGAGTCAGAGAGGCGAAGTTTCCAAGGGTAAAAAGTGAGCTGAGCAAGAGATTTATTGGACATTAATGGCCCAGGAAAGGAAAGTACCATCAGCCTGCACAATGACTTCTTCGCGAGTCTTTGGATTGCTTTCGAAAGAATCCAGCAACGGGAAAGTCCTGCAGTTCCAACGAGCAGCGTAATAAATCTCAGAAGTAAGCGCTCCCGACGTTGGCGGTTCCGCGTTCCCCGGCAGAGGATAGTTCAACAGGCATTGTCTGACATCTACACGGCTGATACTCGAGCTAATTGCGACGGCAAACACGCGGCGCAGACCTTGTAGGAAGATATAGACCAAGTGTCGGTCGCCGTGGCGACCACGATGGCCGGAGTGATTAATCGGCGACGTTATCAGCACGACGGTTTATGGGAGGAATATGAGATTTTGGTTTTCTCCCCTCCAGTGTTTCCTTGAGCAAGGACCCGCAGTCGCGAACAGGCCGACGAAGGAACGAGAATTCAATCTAGCGGTTCGGTAAGACCCGAGGGCGACGAGTGACTGACACCCCGGCCAGCAAGCACGCGGGCGGGAGGGCAAGCAGGCACGGTCAGAGTCGGGCTCAGATTCACTCAGTCAGACAAAAGACCAAGCAGTCTTTTGTGGAGAGCGGAAGGGAGTCAACGACATCGACAGGGCCCCAAGGGGGTGGGAACGTTTGGGTGAAGCTGGCAAGTGGGGAGGGAATGCACAGCGAGGACGCATGCGACCAGCAGCAGACGCGGACTAACTCCAATGCAAGCTTCAATTAGTACGATATCCGGGAAGACACCAGGTAACAATGTGGCTGGCAGCCCAGTGGAGGCTGTATATGTAGAGACTGTCAGGTCTGTTGGAGGCTACTTGTTTGTGAACGTAGAGAACACCGCCGCGACGCCGCTATGTCACGGTGTCCTGATATCATTGTCTGTGATGCCTTTCTCCGTCCATCGTCCATCTATCCGTACGACTATCTATCATCTCATGGTTCCCGCTGTGCGACATCGCTTTAATGCCCGTCAGACAAAGCCAGGGTCGTTGCCCAGCTGAACAACGATCTCCAGCGGGAAATCTCCATGGTTGTCGGTGTTTTTTTTTCCACCGGGAAAGGTCCATATATGTACGCATAAAATGCTCACCCTTTGCTGCGATGGCATAGGGCTTCTCACCCTCGTCGAGGCTGAATCTGCCTCGAACACGTCCCATGTTGGCCGGATTTTCGATACCGGCGTCGAAACAAATCACTCGACCTCCTTCTCGGTCAGCTGCGCAGAGGGTATCGTTTGCTTCCAGGAGGGTCAGAGAGTGGACGACCAGCATGTTCTCTGAAACATGAATATTAAGAGTCAGCTCAATACTCGTTCTGTTTACGAATCTACTGCATTTCCTTCCGGTCTGGCTCCGACGGAAATCGCCGACCTTCCCCGCCGTCATCGCTATCACAGTTGTGAGACACATATGTATATACGCTCACGCACGCGGTCATACACAGACGCCCACTCGCGAGCCCCCGGCAACAAGACGAGTTCGACGAACGACCGAAGGACAGGCCCTCCGAGAAGAACCATGCTATCGCTACGAGGTCTGGAATACACTCACTCAGATCGGAATGTATTACGCCTATAAGTCAGTGGCACGGAATCAGCTGTTCTGAAATTCAAATAAGGAGACGACTCCATACGACACCGATAATGAACAAGACTACAATGATGATGGTAAATCCACGCGGCTCCTTCGCTTCACGGTTTTCGCGACACTAGACAGCTGCTCGGCCGTCTTTCGAGCTTCGTTGATCAACGAATCAGCCCAGAGGAACATGTAGTACGCAGAGGTTCCGAGAGGGGGAATGGGTGCTATCTCCGTCGAATGGAAGGAAGATGATTTTCCGAGGTGCAATCAAACTGACGATGAGTCAAACGACCAAGGATATTCTTGGGAAACTTCAAGAACTCGTCGATCATTGTGGTATCCTCAAACGATTACCTACTCGAAGTTTGTGCGCAACGCAAGCGCATTGCATTGTGTGGCCGAGGCTGGTGTGGGAATTGACAACAGTGGTCATTTGCCAGCCAGAGAGAACACAGCCTTACGACACGAGGAATTAGTCGACTGCAAAATGCAGCTCGGCTGCAGCATCATCAGCTCGAGACTCGCTCTCGTGTTAGCCTTCCCGGCGCGCTATCTTCGCCCATCATAGCCCCTGTCGTAGCCCCACGTGCCGGTGGTTGGATGCGGGTCCCCTCTATGGACAGACCAATAACGAGGAACACAATATTCAGCTGTTCCAATTAAAACTCCTGAGCCGCACCTCCGGTAGTCGTTGGCTATATGCATTTCGTTTCTCGCACGGAGACGAGCTCGATTCTCCAAGAGGGAATCACTCACACGGAGTGTTTTCGCTACTGATCGACCTGGGTAACATTGTGAAAGAATTCAACACGGTATGAGAGAGCTTATCGAATGCTTACCTTCTTGACCGAACGCCTTGAGGAAAGTTCCGTTCTTATGGAAGGCAACCACACGCTGGTTACAATAGCCGTCGCTCACGAAGACGATTCCTTTCGTTGTCACGGCGACATCGGTGGGCTTGCAAAAATGCGTTTCATCTGAGCCAGGGACGAAACGGTCACCCAGAACGAGCGATGCATGATCCTTGTATCCCTTATTGAATTTGAAAACCTGCAAGGATGAAGAAGATGCACACATGTCAGGATCCGCCAGCAAATCCTCTGCGGGGGACAGAGTCACAATATTCGAGCAGAAGAGGATGGGGATCGCGTTGCTCCCTGCACGAGGAAAAGAACGAGGACAGAGAAGCGAGGGAAATTCGGAGTTGGCGTAGAAGTTTTGCGGTGTTCCACTAGGAGGGGTTCAGCTTTTGGACATTTCCACGTTTCCCGATCCGTTCGGTGTGAGCTCCGATCGAATGCCTGGCCAAGGCGGTCGCTTTGCATCCGACCAAAGGATTTTTCATCGAATTTCTGAGCGACTGGAGTCGAAGCCGGAGAATTCGAAGGAACCAAGTTCCAACGACACGAAATATTCTCTTTGATACTCCTCCGAAATACCCAGGCTAGCCTCCATACTTTTCCCGAAAAGAGAACTCGATGCCCTGCGTCGGTTCTGAGCATATCGAATTCGACGTCGAACTCAGACGTGCGGCGTCATGGCTCCTGTGACTTAGCCGGGACCCTGACGGCTCTATATCCGTTCGCAAGATGTAAGTCCATGATCCATCTCCGAAGGTGTCTTTCCTCGCTTTCGTACGACTCCCAGCTCTCGCCGGTCCGGTCGAGTCTGCGGTACGCGGATCTCGGAAACTTCCCCCGAACTCCTGCGCGGTCTGTGAGACAATAATTACTGTCGGTACGTTTGACGGATGGCCAGGGGGGACCGACTCACAATCAGAGGTCTGCATTCAGCCTGGTGCGGTCCTTAAATCATGGGAGGAGACGGATAAGATTATTTCACGCGGGAGTTCCCATTCTCACATTCCCATACGGAATCGCCGCCCAACGTGTAGATCCCTTGCGAACGCGCTCGTACGCGGTCTGACTGAAGGACTCCATCGGCATTGGAGGAAGAATAGTTTTCAATGTAGTCGTAGCTCCACTCGCGACCGGCGGATGGCGGCGAGACTGCGAGAGTGCGGATGAATAAAATATCAATATATCCGTTATACACAGTCTTCGGAACGCCAATCGGAGCCGTCTTGACATCACCGTGTTGAAAGCGCTGCCTAGGCTCAGGAGAAAAATACGGAGCCTTACTTATACCCCCCTACAACTAAGTGAGCCTATCGGGACCGTGGGGAGCTAATCCTGCCGTCACTGAGGATGAGGAATCGCGGAAGTAAAAACCGGTAGACAGGCGATATCCCGGAGCAAGAGGCTAGAGGCAGGTCCGGGAGAGCAATTTTCCGCCGAGTCGGCGCCAGGGAAGTGCCAGCGCCTGAATCCTTGCCCCTCCGATTGTCAGGTGGGTATCGTCGAAGCTTTTTCCCAGCTCTCGATACACCCCGACGTCGCGGAATTGGTCAATGTGTATTGGTTTTGGCAATGCCTTGTCCTCTCGGTGAGCGAACGAGCTAACAAAAGGTGGGCAGCGACCGAGAAGCACAACAAGCTCTCTGCGCGCAAGTGCGACACCCGCAGCATAATAAGCACTGACTACTACCACAACCTTTAGTGCCGTCGACTCAGTGTGGCGTAGGACCCAGGGACATCATTGCTCCCTGCCGCAAAAAAAAGATGGGACCTCGCTCTCCCGCTCCCAGTGATAACATGAGTCGACCGACATCGCCGTCCTTATCGGCGAGGTCCGAGGCTAGAGACGTACGTTCGCAGAGGCTTCCGGATCACGTTCGCCCGACGTACAATAATTATTTATGAATCCATGAATCCTTATTACGAACAAAACGGATAGCTGGCCCTCAATGGAAACGGCAGCAGACACAGTCGCAGCAGAAGGAGTATGACTGTAGATTACTCGGCTCGATGTGAAATGAAGTGCCTCGCTAACTCATATCGAATGGCACCTGCACGAACAGCACCGGCAGCAATAACTTTGTCGGTTCGTACGCCGGAGCAGAGGCAGCAGCAGCAGCGGAAAGGAGTCTGGGTTTTCATGGGTGTGCAATAAACTCCGAAGTCAGAAGGGATATTCGATGTTCACGGACGCTCTTCTCAGGATTAATGTTCTGAAGCGTTTGCGAGCAGATAATTTTTTCCCTCGGACTGTGGAAGACATGAGAAAGAGAAAAGACATCGATCTGAATCGGAGCGGGTGACGGAGAGGAACGGGGTGAAAGGGATTGTCAGGGAGAAGGTTGAGGCTAAGAATCGAGAGCAAAAACTCGGACCTTATGGCCGTCCCATCTGTTTCAGGCGTCTTCGAGCGGAGCTGCTGCTGCCTCTTCTGCGGGACAGCAGCGACGACTCCGAAAAGGCGGAATCGAAATACGTTGGACCTGATAAGCTCCTAGGGCCTTTGATTGGATAGATCCGATTTCCCAGAGAAGAGAGTTTGTTGCTCACTAAGGAAGGTCTCCGATCCTCCGTCAGGGTTAGGGCCAAACAACGATCTCCTCTCTCGGTATCATTCGAGAGAGGACTAAGCGCTCAGCTCGGGATGTATTCAACGAAAGTGTCTGACATTTTATGCTCGCAGGCAAATACCGGAGAGGCTGCCGCGAGAGCCCCGACGCCTTCTCATGGTACCGATCCCGCTCCTGCTCACTGTCCGCATCGTCATCGAGTGAATTCCCGTATATGGCGATCCGAAACGAGGGGTCCATTTTCTTCCCCCTTCGGTTTTAGATTCCTTAGCTGCTCCCAGCCGGAGCTCCCAATCTTGTTTTCTACTTCGGCAGCCTCGCGGGAGAGCTCAGTCGCTTACCGAAACACCCCACTGGTGCCCCTCCCAGCTTCATCGCTCCGATGCACCTTTTCCTTCGGCACCTGAGCGTCGAGTCGCGGCTCATCCGTCTCCTAAGCTTCTCCGCCTATTTTCCAAGTCTCGTCTTCTACGCTTCTCGCTTACTCCTGGCTTTCTTTCAGCAGCTCAATCCTAATCCCAGAGTCCGTTTTCTCCCTCTCTCGAGTGAGTTTCGTGTTCGTTCACTCTTCGAGCTCCTTACGGCCAGGATGTGTCCTTCCCCCCTCATTCTCATCTCTACCTCGAATTCCCTCCCTCCCCGCTTCTCCTTTTGGCAAACAGTTTCCCATTAGTGGCGTCGAATCGAATTGAGTCGAGTTACTTTGGGATTTCTTGGGTGAGCGGGCGGGTCCTTCTCCAAAGTAGAAGAACCGAATGAAGAGTGGCTGAGTGGGGCCGGGAGTGGCCAAGTGAAAACTCCTTCCCACTCTTTTACAGCCTTGCTCCTGAAGCTTTTTGCTCGCTGCCCCCCCTCCCTACCTTGCTCCGTCCTTGGCTTGCCCGCTGGATACAAGGCGGCTCGTCGGCTGGCTGCTTGTCTGGTCCACTCTCCTTCATTGCGTTTCGTCTACAAAGCTTGACAAGCCGGCTTGGTATTTTTTCTATCTGTCTGAGCCTTTCTTCGATGTTCGCTCCCCCATTTTCCGAGTTGATGGAAATTTATTTCTCAGCAGTCAACTTCGGTTCAAATTAAAGTCCGTTGCTGCCATGGCTACTGAATGGTCGTTGACACTTGCTCCTTCGTCCCCGGCCTGGTCCATGCGGCAACTTTTTTCGTTGCTCCAGATTCTCCTTTGTCCCGCCTCATGTGTTCCTTCGGACGGTGGTTCTGACCGCCCCATCAAGCCAGGCAAGCGGAAAACGAAAACTCGCGGCAGGACTCGAAGGGGATGATCGTTCTCTCCGAACAAGTTTCCACTTAGTAGATTAGCTCCAAGGTGGAACGTCGTTCGGTTATCGAATATCGGAAGCTCTTCTCCCGCCAGTCCTGAAGCCACTGACCGAAGATAGCACGAAGGGAGGCATGGAGATGTGGGTTCGGACGGGCAGAAGGAGCGAGCCCACGAGAGGCTAAAGCTCACTCAGTGTTTGTGTTGTTCTTGCTCTTCCCACCATTCATTCCTTTCGTCTCTCCCACGGCTCAATAGGAACTCGATTAGCCTTCATCGACGTCGGATACCTTCGTCATACATTCACTGTCATCGTTTTCCCCGATAGATGGGAAGATCCATCAATCGCTCAGCGAATGAGCAATCTCATTCGCCTCTGCGACCGTGGCTGGAACTCCTTCACAACGATGAAGGTCTCCCAATCATCGTCCAAGCCTCCCGAGGTGAAGTCGACGTGGAGACCGCGGACCTTTCCCCATCTTCGCTGTCCGGGTAGGATTCGGACCCGTCCCTGGTCGCATTGCGAAGGGCCTTTCGAATTGCCTGGGGAAAGGATCGGACGCGTCTTCATATGCCACCCTGTGATAGCAAATCGCAAGCTCAGTCCATAGTGAGATGTTTACTGGTTCGCATCCGACATCGTTTGCCAAAGCTGAATGGGCGGCTCTGTTCACACGGAAGGGCATCCAGGTTGCATCTCCGTGCTACTCCGAAGTCCTTCGAGCGAATCCGCATGATGCGGAGCCGTGCTATCGCTATCGCCTCGCGCCTCGCGCCTCGCGCCTCGCGCCTCGCTCTCGAGCTCGTCGAGGGGATGGATTCCTCCGACTCGCTCTTCTGACGGTGTCAGGCCCGGTCTCCGATTGGAACCGGAATTCCTCTATCAGGGCTTTCCTACCGAATTTGTGCCGGAACATCCGCGAGGTCTTTTCTCATCGACCGGATGAGGTCCGGGAATCGCCACCGAAAGACGCGCAATATTCCGGACAGCATCGCTCCCCGGGGGAACAGCGGAAGCCGTTTCCTTCCGTCCCGATAAGCTTTTTGTATGCAAATACTTTTCGGATCCACTTAGATGACATCGGCGAGCAGGAGAAGCAGGGAAGCCAGACGGAGGGGTCAGCCCCGGAGTCGCGCGCGCTTTTCGAGACGTTTTTCGCGGTCGACGTGCGTACAATCGGAGTGACCGCCTCGGAATCGTTTCTTGTACCGCTCGCCGTGTTCCTTCAGCTTCGCCCCCGTGACTGTCTCCGATGCGTTGCCGCCACTACATGCATATCGGTATCGATGCGAGGTATCCATCTTCGCGTCGGAGCCCACCAGCAAACAAGAATTGCATTGTGAAGAGAGTGCACGACGACCAGGCGGGCCGCCGCCCACATCTGTCATCCCTGGTAGCGGTGCTCGCTCGTTGGTCTGGTCTATTCGTAGCCTTTCCCTCGGTGTCCCCGAACTGCATACAGCTGCGCGCCAACGACGCGACGCAGATGGGCGGGGGCAATCAGGAGGCGCCCTCTTACCACTACACCGAAATCGGACTCGGGAATTAGTCTGATTTCGTTGAAATGCCCCATTTGGAACCAGCGCAAGTGATTCACGGCACTGCTTGTTGTCCTCCGCGCGGCCTCTCGGAACCCTCATATATGACTCAGTAGATTATTATCGCTGATGGCTTCGTTTCGTTCCGGGTTTCCCGGATATGAGCCCCCATGCTCTGTGAGGCATATTTTGTAAGCGGGCAAATTCTCGCGCCGCGCATTGGCATTCAGAGTCACGTATAAACCGGGAGAAATCGAGCTCGAGCTTCTAGAGTTCCACCGGGCGAGGAAAAACAAATGAGAGTGACCGTGTCGCGTAGTCCCTCGCGGGAAGCTCATAACTCATGATCATGGTCACGGCCTTGTTGAAATTGAATGCAAGGCGCTTTCCGCCACAGAGCAGGGAGAAATTAGGAACATGACGCGATCCCGCATTCTTCCTCGCATCACGGAAGCTACAAAAAATCGATCGGATACATGCACGAAGTTTGAGCTGGACGTATGCGGCGCGGGATGCATTGAATTCCAATACACATTCCAGACACCAGACTCTGTTGGCTGTGCTCTACATCCGGTCGGCAGAGGATAAGCGGACAGGCGGTAGTTCTATTCAAAATGTGATTGCCTCCGGGCTGCTCGTAGGAGGCGAGGGGAATTCCTCCGCTAGCGATCGCGGGAGCTTGGCTGACAGACTGTGTATCTGCCTGGATCTGCGCGGGGATTGAATTTCATTGGGGTCCGATATGAATGGCGATCCGTTGTTGTAAAATCCGTGGATGCGTGGACCGTCTCTCCTACGGCACGGCCCTTCTCACCCGGGGTCTCTCGGCGATGTTTGGCTTCACTGTTGCGTTGCCCGAAATCATCATGACCGGATATCTGTTTCTCGTCGCAGTCTCCCGAAAAGGAGATCGATTGGGGGAGCGCAGAGGCGGGACAGGAGGTCGGATGGATACAATTTTCGATCCCCAGATCCTGACCAAGGTACGATGAAGAAGAGAAAGGGTTGCGAGGAAGATCTCAATGAAACTCACCTGATGAAGGGCAACATCGGTCACCCATATGTTGTCCTCGAAATCGATGTACATTCCGTGGGGAAGCACGAACCGTCTTCTGGCGAATGCCTCGATCAGGGAGCCGTTCCGAGGATCCAAAACGAGAATCGCCGGTTCCTCTACGATCTGAGGAAGAAGTGACGTTTTTTAACGTGGGACCGGCTCACTTATGGATCGCGATTCGTCCAGACGAGGAGAAATCCCTCCGAGAAGATCACTGAAGCCTCCTCGGGGGTTGCTGCGTCCTTGTCGGGGAAGGCTTTTTTCCACTATAGCTGACGACGAACCCAGGAAATATTCCTTTTGGAAGAGGAAATTCTGCGCGGTACAAGTTCGGACCCTCTCCCAATAGCATAAGATAGAATCCAATTTGTCTTTTCTTCAATTTATGATGAATGAGGGTCCTGACAGCCCATAGAGCGGAATTCGACAACATTTGGATCGGGGGTTTTCAGGGAATTTTTTCTCTGTGCCGCAGCGGATGGAGTGTCTTGTGCCGCCTTCCCGCTTGTCATTTCCGTTTTGACAGGAAATTTGCAAAGGAGCCAGACGGCGGCTCTCGCTCGGCTCCTGTAGAAAAAAGTTTCGAGAATCACCGACATGACGGGGACTAGTAATTTTGATCGGTAGGAAGAGGGGAATAGAGAGATTGAAGCGTGCTCGGGTAACGGCAACATCGCCAGGCAATTATATCGACAAAAAACGCCAATTTTCTCTCACGACGCATTTTTATGCTAAATCCTCCGTTTTTCCACCGCATTGTGGCTAAGCGCACACGCTAACGGATGACATCATCAGCGAATCGTCACGTTATTTCCAGCGTACCGCGGCTAGAAACATCGACGTTTAAACTAGACACTTATATAGACGCTCTCAGCAACGTTCTCGGAGAGACCTCGGCAGCGTAATGACGCCAGATTATGTAGTTTTTCGTTCCGAAGCAACCTAATCGCATTCCCGGCTTGAGTTAGTGGTCGACCCCTCATCCGTTGTAAGACTCGAACCTCTGATTTTTCCGATCAGGAAATTCCTTGCTCTGCCACTAGAGCCCTGAGTGAAGTCGTTTGGCTTTTTCATGAGAATTCTCTCATATGCTCGCCGAAGCAGTCGCTGATGATACTCCGCCGCGAGTGGCATCTTCACTCGCATTTCCCTCCGAGTTCATTTGGATCACAGCGATCCGGGAAAGGCTCACAGCCGCAGATGCTCAAGGAGGGAAGAATAAGAGACGCTGAAGAGGGGAAACTCGGCGCTACTATTCCTCGGCTAGAAAACAGCCGAAAGTCGAGGAACTTCAAAGGAAGGGATCGAAGAGGTTCTGATGAGGAAAGAGAGCCGGGACCTTACTGAAAGCTAGAGTAGAAGCCTCGCTGTCGCCAACACAAGTGGGCCGAGATTAAGTGAGCTCATCCCTTCCCCAATCGTTTGATAGTGCCTTCATTTGGACGGCCCTGGCTCGAGTTTGAAGCGATCTTTCAAGCAGATGCACTTCTGTTGTCGTCGTTTCCCGTCCTGATCAGACATACAGTGAGCTATAGGAGTCCCAATAGAAGATAGCTTCCGAAGCGGTCGTTGGACAAAAACGGGAAGCTCGATCGTAAAATTCCGGAGGAAGTTGGACTTCGCGAGACTAGCCAGGCCGAGGCCCGCCTACGGAGAGCTCCGGTATTCGCGTTCAGAGGTAGGTCGTGAAAACACGTTGTAAAGGTCGCTGGGGAGAAACACTCCGAAGTTACGGCATGGAACATTCGATTCAGTTGTTTTCGTCCCTCAGCACATCTTCTCGATTTCCGAAGCAATGCGCCGCTATCGAGCACAGTAGTCGATTCCTCAGAATAGAAATACCTGCGTCGACAGACTCGACTCGGATTCGCGAGAACAAATGAAGCAAATTCTCTCAGCGCGAATCGATCGCCTTCAGCGACTCCTTTCTCCCGCGGAACTCAAATTCTCCAGGGGTGAAGTATGTGGAGGAATTCCTCTCTGATGGAGGAGGAAATATAATCCAGGAGGAATATGGAATCATTCCTGAATCATCCGATCCCGGAACATATGCATCTCGAAGCTTGCCGTGTGTAATCGCTGTGTTTCTGAGGAATTTTCTCGATGGTCAATGGTCATGCTTACGTGGGGGTTCATTATCACTATCATGTTTTGGAGTGCAAGGATCTCCTCACACACTGCGATGTTATTGACGACTCTGGTACGCCGACCGCCAGCGGCATCCGACTTCGGTTTTGTGGCGTGTACAGTTTACAGTTTCGCACGAGTCTCGAGGCTGAGGACATCTGACGGTCCGCTATCCGTCGGGTACGGCGCCCGCGGCAGCCATTGCCAAACAGCCAAGCGTGCCCTCTCATGGGAAATGCGAACAGGCCAGTTGTCGCGTCGTCGACGGCAGCAACAACCATATGTGGGTCCCAACTTTTGTTCCTTCCTGTAGTTGTCGCCCCGACGCCAACGGGACTACGATTGTGTTCCGAGGTTCTCGAAGCGGAACCTGAGGATTCTGCTCGTCAACACCCGGCTAGACTGCTTTCTCCTGGGTCAGAATCCGTGAGTGGCGGGAGCCTCTTCGCCGGATGCGTTTAAGCAAGAATATCTCATGACCCTCGAGGGGAAAACGTGTCACACATTCCACTGGCGATATCCCACGGGTCGGAATCTCAAGGGGAGCGACGAACGCGCGAGCGGCACAATATCCGAAAAGCTTGACCAAGCCACCGCCCTCGGCCGAGAGGCTTGGCCGATGGAGAGAGCGTCCATGAAATTTCGTCGCAGAGCTGACCCTCTACTTCAGCGTCCGTCGTTCCAATATCAGCCCATAAAATAAACCGGAACCTCGCTTCCATTGAGCGCTCGAATCTTATGTTTGCCGACGCAGTGTACGATATGACTCTGGAGCGTTTCACTCGGTGAATGTTGACATTCGCCGAGAAAATACGACTCTAGAGCCGGAACGGCTCGGCCTGGATTCATTTTATCGCAACAGATCGCTATTCTTCTCAGGGTCCTGTACGAGGAAACAGGGATTTCGCGACATCGTCGAGGAATTCTGGAATGGATTAACGACATGACAACATATCGCGTTCCCTTTCTAAAGGGGAAACGACCACCCTCCAGATTAGGGCAGTGCTTTCGGGGCAACAAAAACGTGAGCTATGGTAGAACAAGCGCTTCGCCTCGGCGTACGGTGACTTGACGAGGGTGGGAGAGCACGTCAGCGTTCTCTGAAACAGCGAATCTGACAGCTCGTTCCGCCCGTAGTTTTCATCTCGTTACATTTCGAACAGCAGTTCCAAACCCACTCTTCTTGTTACTCTCGGGTTCCTTACGGAGCTAGAGCCCTGGCGTTCAGTGCTGCCTTCTCTGTGAGCGGTGTTCCTTTCAGACGAAGGGAGCCGCGTCTCCGGGATCAAGGACGATTCGAAGACTATCCGAATACCACTAATTGTGATCGCGATGCTCCGGAGTTATGGCTAATCGAGCTGAGCCTTCGAAAGCAGCCGTCGTATTACTGTCCTCCGAACAGATCCAACGGTCTCGAAAAATGATTCATTCTTCCCAGAGCTCGGGACGAGACATTCTACGACTGGGAGCCTAAACAAGGGCAGCGACAGCACAGCGGAAGAACGGTCCCGAGCACACAGGCGCAAGCCCTGGCGGTCGAACGCCGACCTGCACGAGCAGCTCTGGTTTCCCCGCCCCGAAAGCTCATTGCGGGGTCTTTCGACACAACCACGCGATATCCTCAAACTTCGTCTATACGATAATGATGCAAGGATCTCGCGGATGTTTCGGAACCGCGGGAGAAGGGAGGATGATACGGAACTCTCCTTTCAATTCCGACTGCAATTTCACAGGTGTATTGTATTGTTTGAACTACGGAACAGGCTCTTTCATCTCTTTTCTGTTTCCAACCGCGGAACATCTCTGGGCTCATATCGATGCCCAACCTGGCTCGGCGATGTTCGGGAAAGGGAGGACTCCTGAAGCCCATCCCGATCTGCGTCCGAAACCTCGGTGATAAGCGGATAGGGAACAATTGAGATTCGCTGAGTGGTGTGGTGAGCTCTTGCGGGGGGTAAGACCTCCACCTCGACTGTCGGTAGCGATTCTCTCAACGGATATTAGGTGAAGGAAGTCAAACCCAGACTCGTTCTCGAATCTCTTCCCCGCCCCGCGGTGGATAGCGATAATTGTTGGAAAGTCGAAGGTGTTCGGAAGCGGTCGGTAATTGACGAGGGTCGGGAGGTGGTCGACGAAGCTGGATTCGACGAATCGCTCAGGGAGGATGCTCTCAAGGAGGGCGTCGCAAAAGATTTCTTCCAGGGTGAGGACGGAATCCCGCAGGAAAAAATGAGAATGTCTCCTGGTACTTGCTCATGCGCAGAGTCCTCTCTCGTCGAGACCACCGTGAACGAGGTTTCATTCTAAGCAATTATGGACCGTGTCTCTTTTATCACAATGACGAAATCAAGTCGAGTTCGAGTTCCGATGGACGAGTCGACGAATCTCCGTGCGAGGCGTTCGATGGAATTTCCATCTCGAGCGTTTTCCTCAATTCGTCGAACTTGTCTTGCTTGAAAATCCCGGGAGGGACCAGGTCTTTGAGTGGGCTTCGTTTTGCGGTGCTGCGACTAGAGAGAGGGTCCGAGACTCCGGTTCGAAACTAGCGCAACGAGACTCTTTTGGAAAGCATGTCGTGAATTGGCAAGCAGCCACGTTGCTTCAGCGAAATGGCGATGAGATTTGTCGAACAGATACGCGCGATCCCTCCGACGGGACCTTCCCCGATTCCGCCGAGAGAGAGACTTAAGCGAATCAATGCATTCAGCCTCGACAATCCGCGTGTTTTTCCTCTTTAGCAATCGAGGACAAAGCGTATTTCCCTTGAAAACACACGTCCGACCGGTCACTTATGCAGTCAGAAGAGATAGCAATCCACGTCCCAACGGGCCGCCCCGCACGAGCACAACAAGCTTTCGTTCCAGTCAGCAGACTTTACGTCCTACGAAAGCTCTGCAAGCAGGAATTGTTGACTCGAACAAGTTATTCCCCGCCGTGGCCGCTCTCATAAATGTTGTATGCCTCACATGTATGAGACACGAGATGTATCAACCGTGGAGTGGGTGGTTTTTCCGCTCCTTCTGGCTTTGCGGAAAAAACGACAGCACTTCCGCGTGCTTTGGTGACTTCCCAGAATCTCGGAGCTGGAAACGGGAAATAACGCCGCGGCAGGTCCCCGGATATCGGTCGGTTCGACGTCCGGGCCGAGGTCATGCCGCAGTCCAGATGAATTTCCGGTCCAGTATTTTTATAGCGTTCATCGCTGAGCAATTATATCCAGGCCTGCGCGTCCCCACACCAGAGAGCGGTGGAACCAATCTCTCTGGTCCGATGCACTTTCGCAAACTTTGTAGCATACATATCTCTCGCGACAGGACCCTTCAAAGACCCGCTTCCAAAAGTCCCTCACGGCCTAAAACTCCTCCGCTTCTGTTGCTGGAGATTAAACAGCCATTTTCTAAAGGAAGCTGGCTGCGGGAGCTCCCTTGTAATCGCACCGGCAAACAAGTAGGGGCTCGAGTCTGAGTCGAGTGCTCGTTAAGCTCCTTTAAAGAGCTCGGCCTTATATTCCTTAGTGGAATCCTCCAGACTCTTATTTCTCTTGCTGATAGAGAACGATTTGCTTGTCTCAGCCGCTGAATGCGATCGCATCGTAAAACAAAGAACCTCACGGAACTTGGTATCCTCAAAACGCTTTCGCTGCGGCCTACGCTCCTCGTCGAATCGCGAATTCAGAGAAAGAAGGGCCATCGCGATAACCCCCGACAAGATGTCGTGGGTCCGACGGAGATATGGGGGAACGTCACTCAGCGAGTTGACCTCGGTGGTTGAGTGCAAGGGAGGTAAACACGCCGTGCGTCTGCCTGCCTATTCCTCACTGCAGGGCCGACGGGAAACTTCCTCGCCGGCCCTATTCATGCGCAGCTTCAGCCCCACTGCGGTTTACTCTGTGGGAAGATTCTTTTCATGAAAGCTTCTGCCCTGCAGGAGCTTCGGTCGCGCGTCACTAACGGTGGTGCGGACCAGCTCGAGGAACACAATCAATACGCCGAGTCCACAGAATCAACAGCGATCTGGGTTTCTCATGCAGCCTGAGTGAATTAGGGCGGAAAAAATGTTCCTCCTACGGAGCTGATTCGGTAGTGTCCCGAAGTTTCTGTCCACCTTCATCGGATTCCTGACTCTACCCGGCGAGCTTTAAGTCTCAGGGTACGTGTTTGAATGAAGCTAAAAAAATAATAATGTTTGCTTTGGTTTCCCCCCAGCATCGCCAGGGGCTGTCTCTGGTCTTTTTTTATCCGCGGAACTTTTTGTAATGAAGCGACCAGCTATCAAGTCCTGGCCTGCCGCTTCCAGAGTTCTATGGTGTGGTCGAAAAAACTGGAGCCTACAGCGTCTACGTCCGCAGCGTTCAAGGTACCCTCTGTACCAATAGCAACACGCATAATGAGGGACGGTCACTGTGCTTGAGCGTCCTGGGGCGATGCCGGATTATCCTCTCATCTATTGTACGCATCGGACGCGGATGGGTCGGTACACGAAACGCAGCCTATCCCATGCCGAAATTGAGCTCGCGGTCCTATGGGAAGCCTATGGAGCTCTCAATAGAGCAATTCTCCCTGGGATGTTGCCTCAAGCTCTCGACATTCTCCATGACTCGTGAGATCATTCGACAAATTTTGAAACGACGACGATATCCCCACAAGGTCAAGAGGAGACCCGAAAAACGTCATCGAGCTCGGGGAGCCGCTCCGACCCCGGTTGGAGCCCCGGAAACTCATGGAAAGACCCGTTCGATTTGAAAATCTCCCTGAACAGAAAGTCCTGCGCACTTGGAGCCGTGTCGCGCGCAGCGAGCGACATAGCTCTTACATATTGTGGTCGAATCGATTGAGAGCGTAAGCCTCTGAGATTCAAGTCAACATCGGAAGCAAAACTCAACTTGAAGAGCAACTCGGGAGCCAGACGCTCAGGGACTCTTTCCTACGCTCAATCTCTCTTCACGCCCACCTAAGCCGTCGGATCGGGTTGCCTCGAACCCCGACGCTGAATAATATGTATTAGGGGGACTTGATCTATTCATGTGCTTATCGTCAATCTTTATAAAGTCAACGAACACATAGCTGTTCCGTTCTAATGCCGGCGAGCCTCGCCTGCCAGAGGCGGGTACTCCAAGTCGGCGAGCCCACGGCTTCGTCGTGAAAAACGACCCTGCTCTCGACGAGGACCAGATCGGCTCGACGATTCCCAGATCACTCTGCTCGGAGATCTCTGAGAATGTTGGACTCATTGAAAAATCAGGGCTGGACGAAGATAATTCTTCCCGCCTACCCGGGACGACGAAATTGCGCAGTAACTGGGCGCAGCTCTCGTTCCGAAGCGGGAAGGTTGTATGTCATGCAATGAAATATCACGACAAAGTATTCTCAATTCACAACAAGTGCGTCGTGCCGAGAAAACGAACGACTTACGTATGTTAGTGCGAGGAATGGCTGATTGCGTTCGTTTCTCGGATATAAAAAGCACAATAGAACTATTATATGAGTGGATGTTCGTCTCCCCAGCCTGCATTCTTGTCCATCCTTTTCTGCTGTTATTCATCGTCCGCCCTGTCATCGTTCTAAAGGAGCCCTTTGTTGTTCACTGTTGTCGAGCTCGCTGTCCTCAGACAGAGTTCTCTCAGTCAGTTGAACTTCTTCGAGACTAACTTTTCCCAGGCTTGCTCCCTCAATGCAACGGCAGTCCGCTGCTTTAGAAACTCCTTTTGAACTCAATTTCGGGAACACAACAGCAGTGATGCTGAGATCATTCCGTCATGTCTCGGCATCGTGCCTTCTCCTGTGTCACGCTCCTGGGAGCGCACCCAGCTTCAGGAGTTCACAATCCTCGGGCAACAGAAGGCGATGAGCAGAGAGACCTCCTGGAGGAGCTTACCTGAGTCTGATTCTGGAATATGTTCTTGAAATCGAAACTTCGCTCGTCCCATATGTTGGAGCCACGGTGGAACACGAAAACTTTCCCGCTCGAATCGGTGTGGATCCCGCACGCTTCGCCCATGAGCTCTGAGCGGAGGATCTCCTTGTTCGGCCATGATGGATCCTCCCGGATGAAGTTTGGTTGCTCCTCGAGAACCTGTAGGAGGGGACAATTGAAATCGAGAATCGAGGTTACGGAGGGCGCCGGTTCGCGCACGCACGACGGTCGCTTCCGTCGAAGGAAGGAGCAGTCCGACGAGGGTGCTATCTCCCTCATCCGCGACCTGTTCACTCTATCTCTCGTTGTCAATTGCTGATCCCAGTCAGGCTGACTTTCTCCTTATCCTGATTGCAGATCCATCGATCCTTTGTTAGGAGCTTCGGAATCTATCAGAACATGCGATCCGAAAACCTACGCTTCACGGGAGCCGTGACGTCTGACTGATCGAATTGTGTCGCATCCGCTACCGGAATATAACCTCATTGCTAACACCCGATATATTCGAGCGATCCTCCCTTTTAGAATCTTGTCATACCCACAAGAAGCTTCTCTTTGATGATTGTCAAGATTTTCCGGAGCCGAATCCGGCGAACCCCTGCTTCATAGATCCGATCTATTTAGGAATGCCCAGATCTACTGATGAAGATTTTTAGAGTAGAGCGAGGTGATCTGCCAAGCTTGATGAATCTTTCGATTACGAGTCTCGCTGATTATTATCCACGTCAGCTGGAGTTTGTGACGGGGTAACCGCGGGAAGGATCGCTCACCCCGGGAATATCTTGTAGCTCAGCGTTATGACGTCAGTTGAGAAACTCTAGGATTCCGGACGAGCTTAATGGACGACGATCTCCGACAAATCGAGGAAATATCATAAGACATTCGAGTCCTCGGCGTCATTGCTCAGATTACTGTCACGAAGGTTCCTCAACTTGCGATCGAGACTCTATTCTCGCGCACTCTCCCCTTCCACGGAAATGAGCCGATTGCTCTCCGGTATTTTCCATTCCTATGAGGCGCCATATCAGGAGGTTCCCCGTCCGAATATATCTGTTTCACACCGCTCATTCGCACATCCGGAGAACCCTCGATTCCCGGAACTCGGAGGAGCCGTGCTCCAGCTATCTGAGGCTTGCATGGCACCGCGAGCAGACATAGCGTTTCGGTAACCCCGTAGCCCCCGGTCCCAAACATGGAGACAGATGGGACGCAGAATTTCGCTTTTTCAGAACCGGGGCGATCGGGTTTCGAACTCATCCCAGAATAGTGGCCTCAGGCCTACTGTTCTCGACAATCAGTCAGGTCCGCGCATCGAAACACGGCGGGAAACCTAGCGTTACCCGAGAAACCGTCCGATTCGGGAAGGAGTCACCGTTCCATATGACTGACACGGCCCAGATCCGGATGGCAATCACTCGCCAGCCATCAGATGACGAAGTCGAGCGAGCTCTACTATCCGGGACGGGCAAATTGAGTGAGACACCTGTTTTCCGAGACGGCATACGGTAGCACTTACATTGCGTACGATGGAGCGCAGGTTGAGACTCCGGGGTAGAGCGAGGTCCTCGTCGTAGTAGTAGTGGCCAGACGATACACCAATTGCCAAAATCGCCCAACAAAGGCTCCACTGCGGAATGCCGCACATGGCTTCACTGAGGTGCACTGTTGCTGCTGATCAGCTAGACTATTCTATGTCTATCCGGCGGCAGCAGCGGCGAGGTAACAGCAAAGGGCAGTCAGCGCAAGAGACTGTCAAACACTTCTCTTTCCTGCCATCTGTTGGAGCGGTTGCTTGACGTCATCGGAACGGAGCAAAGGGCTCCGCCACCCTCACCCATTTCTGCGCACGCACTGGATTTTCTACAAGTTTTGTTTGCGGCGGGCGCTTTCGAAACAATCACTCGCGTTTTGCACAGTCTTCTCCTGGTGCACATCAGTCCCATGAGTGCACCGGAACGATTCCAGTGCTTCGGCGAGAAGAAATTCTCTCTCTCGAGCTCGGAGCCGCCCCCGTAGTCGCCGGCCGCAGCAGACGGAATCGGGTTCCGACCCGTGTTGTGAGGCTGATTGCCCCCGCTAAGCCGACGCGGGTCGAAGCTCCCCGCACCCCTCAGCGTCTCGAACAGTGATCTCGATCGGGGTGCGAGCGCATTCCCAGGGGTCTCAAGAAAAGATGGAGAGAGGCGCGAGGAGCTCATACGACATTGTTCGACTTTGCATTCCGGAATCTCGAGAATGTCTTCAACGAGAGAAATTTGCCATGATGAGCGCGTCATCTCTTGTTCATCTCGAGAGACGATATCCGTTGCTGAGACTGTGTGATACTAAACGATGAAAGCTTCGACATAAATTCCAACCGCCTACCCACATGTTTCCCGATCCCATTCCGACGCCTGAGGGGGCTCGGAGCTCCTCCGAAATGAATGACCTGGAACATAGGCGGCATATTTTATTCAAGTCGTCATCCGAAGAGCATCACTGTCCGGAGAGCGTCCATCGATGACGGAGTTTTGCAGTATGAAAGGGGCGCGGTAAAATAGAAAAGGAGCGTACCTCACTGCGGTCTCCTGGAATCAGCCTCGCCGTGAATCCAATCGATCCTCGAGCTTAGATGCTAAATGGAGTCAGTTCGCGAAACACGCTTTTTTCAACGCGGGACATCACACCATTTCTCAGCGGTCAAGTGCACGAAGCTCGGCCGGCCGCTGGAAACTTTCAAGCTATGTTTATAGGGTGTATATTATGCATGTATATCTGACCTATACGAATCATCCGATCAGTAAAGAGCTCCTCGGGTTGGACCATGTGCATATCGATATCGTCCTCAGGTACGCCCATTTGTATGAAGTCACGCGAGAATGAGTACGGATCGAGACGAATTCCGCCTTCCATCACACCCGACTCCCGATAGCTATTAGTGTGCCAGAACGAATATTCCGCTTGGCTTGACGTCGGCTTGTGCATACGTACGTACATCGAGCACGAGTTCCATTCGAAGTTGGAAATGGAGTCAGTATCTGCCATGGTGAGCTCTGCTCCCTGCTCAAGTCGACCGAGGCAGGCAGAGAACGATCGCATATCCTCTGAATTTGCGGATCATTCCACTCTCAATCAGACCTCTCAAAGGGTACTCGATCGAGGCCTCGAGAGAGTCTCCCGGGGGTCAGGAGTCAGCGCATAAAAGTCTTTGGGAATTCCGAACCATCCGGCACGAGATTCGCCCGACGTACGAGTGGTGGCAGAAATACAGGTAGGCGCTCTCCTTGAGACATGGAGCACCTGTCGGAGAAAATAATTATTCGGACACCGTCGCGGAGTCTTGGAAGGCACTCGAGGGAGCGGAAGACTAAGAGTTCCTCATCGTTCCCTTACTCACACGTATGTGAGAGTTCTACCGGTCGTCTGGCTCTTTCCGTTCGCATCGCGAGCGACCCGAAGATACGGGGCAGCGCCGAGATAAGACACACTTCCCCGGCTTTCGGAAGTGACGCTGGGAACCCTAGGGAGCGGGAGCCAGCTCAATCGATGTGTATCCTGCATATATTCTACCTCTCATTACCCTCCAGCTGAAGATTCGCCATCGCGAATGACCTGAACTGCCCGAATTCTCGAGGGAGCATTGATAAATCTCAACAAGGCTATTGGCATGCTCTGCTCTCGAGGAATAAAGTCGAGCAGACTAATCGCACATCATGAGAGCCGCGGAAGATAGAATTTGTTCGAGACGAGCCGATCTTGGACAGGTACGTGTGTACTTCGAAGGCGTCACAACTCTTGCAGTGAAGCTGTCGAACTCCTCAGACGCCCGACATTCTTGACATCAGGATGAGATGCGTCATTGGAGAATGCCTCGCGGCCCTCACGAGAATGAGTACCATCATTCCGAAATATGCGAGTAACGAAGGCTGAGCCCTGCAGCGATCGTTGATGGCCCACCGATGCGTGGTTTAAGTAGCTAGCTCGCGCGCTGCGGGACGACTTCCGCGTTTCGGGAACCTATCTGAGGAGAATGAAATTTCGATCTCACGGGAAAATATGGCTGAAGAACGCGCGTATGACCTAAAGAGAGATCGACGTAAGTGCACACACACGACGTTTTTTCCGCGACCCGAATCCGGGATGGGGGGGGTTCCGCTGTGATTCTGTCAGCGCTTTGCCTCGGTTGCCAGCGAGTCTACCTCAATCCCACCCGATTCCTACTACAGTTTGTCGACTGATCATCATCGCTATACTCTGTTATTCTCGTCGTGATTCGGAGAGCATGGCTTGACTCCGGAACGCCTCGCCCGCAATACTAGAGATGACATCATTGGTAGTATTGCAATGCTCGATTCAGAGCTCGAACATAGTTCCTTGCAATCAATCAAATAGGAGGTTGGATATTCCGCCGAAGTCCCCTCCTGCAGCCTTCCCGCTGGCTCTTCCTCGGAACTATCCGCTACGCTAAGGTCCCGTTTGGATGACATCAAACCTTGCCAAAATTCCTACAGATTTCTGCCCTGAGGGGACCCCACGTCTTGGTGGCTCACTGATCAGCGGGGAAAACAACGCAACCCGCGCAAATGTCCTACTTGCTATCGGGAAAGTATAACAGTTTTGACTGCGACGGCTCACAGCATCGGCCCCCGATGACGAATATTCGGCTCGGGGCTTCCCTGGAAAACGGAAGCATCCAGGAGCCTTCAGGTGGCGAAGTTTTGATTTCTAAGCGGGGTAGATCCTTTCTTCAGGTCGCCCTTGAGCACCAGCGCAGGAAACTTCATGGAGCCTGATCGGCGACCGAGCACGCCATCTGCAAACCGATGCGGTAAACACAAACATGCCTAGAGGTGTGAATGCAATTCGTAGATCGCGCTAAGTTTTCCAGTGGGGATGGAGGAGTCCACTCAGTCTACTCCAGATCTCACGGCAGCTCCGATGCTGTGGTTTCGACGTAAGTACCGTAGAACGCGATCGGAGAGCTCAATCGAGGGAGGAATAATTTGTGATAGCAGCACGCTCTATGTCTCCACTCTCGAAATTCGTAGGAGTAGAATCCCAGGCTAGGATTCACCCGATGACATTCGCTATTATGATCTCCTCGTCTCTGTCGCCGTGAGTGCCGATGCTTTGAGCAGCCCAAAATTCTGAGCAGATTAGCGTCCTTGGGAAGCTTCGTCTGTACGTGCGACTGGCCTCATGACGTCATCCCGAAGATTTCTGTGATATCTACGCAAGCGGACGCGTAAGCACATGAATATTGATACCCGAGAACGAACAGGCGAAAAGGAAAAAAGCCGGGATCGAAATTATCGAAGAAATGCGCACATTTGGAAGGAGACATCGTGATTCACCGACCGAGCTGGATAGAAATGAGCCCGGACGTCCATGAGGTTTCCCCCCCCCATCTGTCCCGGTCGCCGTTCGAAATCGGACTGCGGAGAGAATCGAACGGATGACATCGATGAACTTCCATGGATCAGCACCTCGGACCCGAATTCAAGAGCAGATCCCCGAGTTTCAAAAAGAATCGATGCGGGTCTGGAGCGATTCCCTACGCGAATGCAGAAAGCTTCCTCCTTACCCGAGGAAGATCGAACACTAGAGTACAATGTCCCTCACGGGCTCGCTTTCTCTGGTGCGGGAATCTCAGACGAAATCGAACATCTGGCTGGATGAGGTGAAGTTTTCTGCGAATGGCATTCCTCGTGAATATTTTACTTGCTCGATCACTTGCGAGGACACTGTTACGACCCAGGGGCGTAATGAGCCTTCCTTTCACCAATGAGAGTAAGAGAACATTGGTCCGACAAGTAGAAATGTCCTCCACTTGACATGCTCCGCTCTGCCGCTCCGAATACGCCCACCGGGGACGACGACCACCACCACCGCTGAAGGGTCGTTTCCATGCTGGTTCCCGGGATGACTGTGACGGTAATTTCCTTTTCTCATTCCCGAGCCCGGTGGCTTTTATCGGCTACAGCCGATTTGCGCGGTGAGTGCCTTCAATATCTTGGTTCTCCGAACACCCTGCTCATATTCAATACCTCATTCTTTCTTGACGTATCACCCGATGGTGGCGAAGCGAAATAATCTCAAAACAAGGTTGCTGAGCTGAGTGTACCACCGTGGACTCCCACGGCGAATCGCAAGTTCTAATATAGCGCCTCGGTTCGTCTGAGAAGTTCATCCGGCAAGAGGTATAAGGATGTTCCGGTTCCGAAGAAACTCATCTCCGGCACACGAGCTTCGACGACCCCTTCTTCTTCGCTTCTCCTTACGGAGGTCGATAGGTTGCACTGAATCGGGGAGGAGGCTCCCTTTGCAGCTGCCGACAAATTCATTATTATTTGCAACGACAAGGGCACAGGACATCATCCCTCGGATCTTCGCGAGCGATACAGCGCCCAATTGCCCTCCAGCTGTCGGAATAAATGGAAAAAAATCCTAACAGCGGACTCAGATGTTACCGTTCCTCGAACGGAGGACCGAATGGCGCTTAGCCACAGTAATTTCCTCGAGGGTGATTAGGACGGTTAGAACGAGTCGGATGGACCGGCCCGCGAATTTCCTCAACGTGAATCTGCCGGTCCAGCAAAGTTCTGCGAAGACTCCCGGTGGACTTGGGGTCAGAATCTTTTGTCATCGTTGAGGGTCGAATTGGAAAGCGTTAGAAACTGCATGGGGAGCTCCTGGGGGAGCTTTCGAGAATTCCATCGGAATAAACGTTCGGCAATACATAATATTGACGGTGGCTTATAAAGGGAGGGGGAGCGACGGGGCTCGTTTCG